GGAAGGATACAGAAATGGGGAGGGGACAGAGATGGGGGGGGATACAGAGCTGGGGGAGGTGACAGAGCTTGGGAGGATACAGAACTGGGGAGGGGACAGAGCTGGGAAGGATACAGAGCTGGGGGAGGGGACAGAGATGAGGGGGGGGATACAGAGCTGGGGGAGGTGACAGAGCTTGGGAGGATACAGAACTGGGGAGGGGACAGAGCTGGGAAGGATACAGAGCTGGGGGAGGGGACAGAGCTGGGGGAGGGGACAGAGGGGAGGAGGATACAGAGCTGGGAAGGATACATAGCTGGGGGAGGGGACAGAGCTGGGGGAGTGGACAGAGCTAGGGAGGGGACAGAGCTGGGAAGGATACAGAGCTGGGGAGGGGGACAGAGCTTAGGGAGGTGACAGAGCTGGGTAGGATACAGAGCTGGGGGAGGGGACAGGGGGGGGGGGGGGGGGGGGGGGAACAGCTTTGGAGCGTACAGAGCTGAGGAGCGGACAGAACTGGAGAGGGGGACAGAGCTGGGGGGGGATACAGAGCTGGGGGAGGTGACAGAGCTTGGGAGGATACAGAAATGGGGAGGGGACAGAGCTGGGAAGGATACAGAACTGGGGAGGGGACAGAGATGGGGGGGGGATACAGAGCTGGGGGAGGTGACAGAGCTTGGGAGGATACAGAAATGGGGAGGGGACAGAGCTGGGAAGGATACAGAACTGGGGAGGGGACAGAGATGGGGGGGATACAGAGCTGGGGAGGGGACAGAGATGGGGGGGATACAGAACTGGGGAGGGGACAGAGCTGGGGGGGATACAGAGCTGGGGGGAAGGGACAGAGCTGGGAGGATACAGAGCTGTGGGAAGGGGGCAGAGCTGGGGAGGAGACAGAGCTGGGAAGGATACAGAGCTTGGGAGGGAACAGAGCTAGGGGAGGGGACAGAGCTGGGGAGGGGACAGAGCTGGGAAGGATACAGACCTGGGGAGGGGACAGAGCTGGGGGAGGCGACAGAGCTGGGGGGGATACAGAGCTGGGAAGGATACAAAGCTGGGGAGGGGACAGGGGGGGAGGGGAACAGCTTGGGAGCGGACAGAGCTTGAGGAGGATACAGAGTTGGGGGAGGGGACAGAGCTGGGGGAGGGGACAGAGCTGGGGAGGAGACAGAGCTGGGGAGGATACAGAGCTGGGAAGGATACAGAGCTGGGGAGGGGACAGAGCTAGGGAGGGGATAGAGCTAGGGAGGGGATAGAGCTGGGAAAGATACAGAGCTGGGGAGGGGGACAGAGCTGGGGGAGGTGACAGAGCTGGGTAGGATACAGATAGGGGAGCGGAGAGAGCTGGGGGAGGAGACAGAGCTGGGGAGGATACAGAGCTGGGGGAGGGGACAGAGGGGGGGGGGGGATACAGAGCTGGGAAGGATACAGAGCTGGGGGAGGGGACAGAGATGGGGGAGCGGAGAGAGCTGGGGGAGGGGACAGAGCTTGGGAGGATACAGAGCTGGGGAGGATACAGAGCTGGGGGAGGGGACAGAGGGGAGGAGGAGGATACAGAGCTGGGAAGGATACATAGCTGGGGGAGGGGACAGAGCTAGGGAGGGGACAGAGCTGGGAAGGATACAGAGCTGGGGAGGGGGACAGAGCTGGGGGAGGTGACAGAGCTGGGTAGGATACAGAGCTGGGTGAGCAGACAGAGCTGGGGGAGGATACAGAGCTGGGGGAGGGGACAGAGCTGGGGGAGGGGACAGAGGGGAGGAGGAGGATACAGAGCTGGGAAGGATACATAGCTGGGGGAGGGGACAGAGCTGGGGAGTGGACAGAGCTAGGGAGGGGACAGAGCTGGGAAGGATACAGAGCTGGGGAGGGGGACAGAGCTGGGGGAGGTGACAGAGCTGGGTAGGATACAGAGCTGGGTGAGCAGACAGAGCTGGGGGAGGATACAGAGCTGGGGGAGGGGGCAGAGCTGGGAAGGATACAGAGCTGGGGGAGGGGACAGGGGGGGGGCACAGCTTTGGAGCGGACAGAGCTGAGGAGCGGACAGAACTGGAGAGGGGGACAGAGCTGGGGGGGATACAGAGCTGGGGGAGGTGACAGAGCTTGGGAGGATACAGAAATGGGGAGGGGACAGAGCTGGGAAGGATACAGAAATGGGGAGGGGACAGAGATGGGGGGGGATACAGAGCTGGGGGGAGGTGACAGAGCTTGGGAGGATACAGAACTGGGGAGGGGACAGAGCTGGGAAGGATACAGAGCTGGGGGAGGGGACAGAGATGAGGGGGGGGATACAGAGCTGGGGGAGGTGACAGAGCTTGGGAGGATACAGAACTGGGGAGGGGACAGAGCTGGGAAGGATACAGAGCTGGGGGAGGGGACAGAGCTGGGGGAGGGGACAGAGGGGAGGAGGATACAGAGCTGGGAAGGATACATAGCTGGGGGAGGGGACAGAGCTGGGGGAGTGGACAGAGCTAGGGAGGGGACAGAGCTGGGAAGGATACAGAGCTGGGGAGGGGGACAGAGCTTAGGGAGGTGACAGAGCTGGGTAGGATACAGAGCTGGGGGAGGGGACAGGGGGGGGGGGGGGGGGGGAACAGCTTTGGAGCGTACAGAGCTGAGGAGCGGACAGAACTGGAGAGGGGGACAGAGCTGGGGGGGGATACAGAGCTGGGGGAGGTGACAGAGCTTGGGAGGATACAGAAATGGGGAGGGGACAGAGCTGGGAAGGATACAGAACTGGGGAGGGGACAGAGATGGGGGGGGGATACAGAGCTGGGGGAGGTGACAGAGCTTGGGAGGATACAGAAATGGGGAGGGGACAGAGCTGGGAAGGATACAGAACTGGGGAGGGGACAGAGATGGGGGGGATACAGAGCTGGGGAGGGGACAGAGATGGGGGGGATACAGAACTGGGGAGGGGACAGAGATGGGGGGGGATACAGAACTGGGGAGGTGACAGAGCTTGGGAGGATACAGAACTGGGGAGGGGACAGAGCTTGGGAGGATACAGAACTGGGGAGGGGACAGAGATGGGGGGGGGATACAGAACTGGGGAGGTGACAGAGCTTGGGAGGATACAGAACTGGGGAGGGGACAGAGATGGGGGGGATACAGAGCTAGGGGAGGTGACAGAGAGCTTGGGAGGATACAGAACTGGGGAGGGGACAAAGCTGGGAAGGATACAGAGCTGGGGGGGGGGGGGGGGAACAGAGCTGAGGAACGGACAGAGCTGGGGGAGGGGACAGAGCTGGGAAGAATACAGAGCTGGGAAGAATACAGAGCTGGGGAGCGGACAGAGGTTGAATATATACAACCAGAGTTGTATGCCACTGTATTGATTAATGATTTCTTGTGCCAGATATTGCTCGAATTTAGGATTGGAAAGTTTGTCCAAGATGACGAATGTCACTCCTTTACTATTTCATATATGGTGAGGGGTACATATTATCTGCCCAGCGTAAATAATGCTTACAAATTACCATCAAGTTCCTGTGTTCCCAAGCAATACCTTGGTCACTAAACTTCACCTGAAATACAACGCTTGCTGAGTAAAACTTTGTTTACAATAATTAAACCTCCCCCAATAAATAAGTGGTCACAATACTACTGCTGTCAGATGCCCCAACTGATGCTGACTTCTGCAACATATTGACTGCACTGACCTTGTCAACGATTATCAGTTCCACACAGACAATATAATTCCTAGTAAAACTGTTCCATAGGAATAATTCCAGTCGAAATTATAGTACGAAGCAACAATTTCACACAAGGAACAGATACTCTTTGACAGCCTCAGTTTACTGAAGGGTAAGGTAGATGAAACTGATTGAAGCACACCTACAATCCTTGTAAGTGAGTCAGGTGGCTCACTGGCCTTGAATCAACTCATCAACTGGCCAACAGTTGTACATCTATTGTGATGGTTTCATGCGACTGCTTTCAGCTTTGACAATAGCAATACCCCTAGAGCTGACATACAGGAGCTACATGCCCCAGGGCTGACATACAGGAGCTACATGCCACAGGGCTGACATACAGGAGTAACATGCCCTTGGAGCTGACATACAGGAGTTACATGCCCCTGGAGCTGACATACAGGAGTTACATGCCCCTGCAACTGACATACTGAAGTGACATGCCCCTGGAGCTGACATACAGGAATAACATGCCCCTGAAGCTGACATACAGGAATAATATGCCCCTGAAGCTGACATACAGGAGTAACATGCCCCTGGAGCTGACATACAGGAGTTACATGCCCCTGGAGCTGACATACAGGAGTAACATGCCCCTGGAGCTGACATACAGGAGTTACATGCCCCTGGAGCTGACATACAGAGTAAGATGCCACTGGAGCTGACATAAAGAGTTACATGCCCCTGGAGCTGACATACAGGAGTTACATGCCCCTGGAGCTGACATAAAGGAGTAACATGCCCCTGGAGCTGACATACAGGAGTTACATGCCCCTGGAGCTGACATACAGAGTAAGATGCCACTGGAGCTGACATAAAGAGTTACATGCCCCTGGAGCCAATATACAGGAGTTACATGCCCTTGGAACTGACATACAGAGTTACATGCCCCTTGAGCCGACATACAGGAGTTACATGCCCTTGGAACTGACATACAGAGTTACATGCCCCTTGAGCTGACATACAGGAGTTACATGCCCCTGGAACTGACATACATAGTTACATGCCCCTGGAGCCGACATACAGAATAACATGCCCCTGCAGCTGACATACAGACTTACATGCCCCTGGAACTGACATACAGAGTTACATGCCCCTGGAGCCGACAAACAGGAGTTACATGCCCCTGGAACTGACATACAGAGTTACATGCCCCTGGAGCCGACATACAGAATAACATGCCCCTGGAGCTGACATACATAAGTTGACATGTAACTACTGTGACAGATCGTGTTGACCTGAGGCTGTTTTTTGCCTTTATGCTTCTAAATTCAGTTGTGACTACCGTTCCTGATCATGTTGCCCTGAACAAAAGGAACCTTGACTGACCTGGACAGTGCGACTTGAACATGGAGTTCCGGAGTTCCTTGAGTTCCTGGAACTGAGCCAGAGAGAACCGGTTCTCCTCCACAGGTGTGCTGGCAATTGCTCCGACCTCCGCAGTGTGGGCCAAACTGCTCTGGACGACGTACATGTGGATTCCTGCACAGAACCATAACATCTGTATGTACAACATGTATGATCTCATACATACCATCTAGAGTTGTTTTCAAGTACTTGTCTATTCCATGGAAGAGGCTAGGTGAGGTGAATGGAGGAAGAATATCTGTAAACAGTGTTCTCACTATCCCCCGCCATGGTGCCCATTAGAATTATCTTCATAGTCATATAATTAAGAAGAGATAGGTACTAGGATCGCTTTATGTCATCAGAAAAAATAAGTACACGGGTGTGAGTGAGTGAGTGCTTTTAACAGTATACCAGTTATATCAAGGCCTGTCAGCTTATTGTGGGAGGAAAGTCTAAGTGATGCTGGTCTCAGACGTTTACCACTTCGGTGAAACACACGTGCACGGGTATGGTGCTGACAAACCAATGGGATTCGAACCTACAATCATAGGTTTCTGGTGTGCCCAAGGGATGCAACTCTGCACGAATCGTGGCGCCTTAGACGACTGGGCCACTGATGCCCCCCGAGTACATGTGAAATTAATACACACAAAAGGCCCTACTCTGGAAAAAATAATTTATGGCACCATTTCTCTACCTCAGTCTTGACAAGTATCTCTTAGATAAGCTTACAAACTTTTATTCATGTATCATCAGTAGTTTCTGAGAAAAGTTGTCCCCATTGCAGACATTACATACAAGGTTGAAAAGCATGGAGCAGGGGCCATAACTCTGTAAAAAATAATTTACTGCACCAATTTTCTCTCAGTCTTGACAATTATTTCAAAGACAAGCATGCAAACTGTCTCTCATGAAACTTCAGTAGTTTCTGAGAAAACTTGTCTCCATTGCAGACACTATGCACAAAGTCAAATAGCACAGAGCGAGGGCATAACTCTGTAAAATTGAATTTAACTCATTTAAGATCATGACCAGTAATATCAGTGTGTGAAATTTCATTTCTCTAACTGAAATAGTATTTGAGAAACTTTGTACCCTTTGAGAAGCGTATATATTGACGGAAAGATGGAAGAGCGGACAGACAAACTCCATTCCTGTATGCCCTGCCACACTTCATGGCAGGGGATAATAATCTTTGTGTAGTAGAAATTAGAAAAATCACCAGCAGCGGTCAAATTCCAACAAAACCTAAAAGCACCCTGTTTCAATGGGCTGCTAAAAACATCCAGATGTCAAGATAAAGTCATAAATACCTAGCTGAGCAGGGTGCCGTTGTACAAACCAACATTAGTGCTACGACTGTCGTAAGTCTATGTTAAGGTATGGGAGTTATGATCACCTTAGTGCTAGGATCGCTTTGTACAACGGCCTCCAGAACTATAACATCTTTGTGTCCATCACACCTGTTCATTCCTGAACAGCTTGACTCATTCTCCCTTTTTTCCACCTCAGTATGATGAACCAACTGGCAACTGACTGTACAAACACATGCAGTATAAAAAACATACACCAATCAACTGATCGTGCTACAGCATCACTGAAAGACTCACCACTGTTCTTGGCGGCAGTGGCCTCGGAGAGGATGTGGCTGGCATCATCGTTGACTCTCCCCACCGTCATCAATATGATGGCGTCAGCTACATGTTTGCGGTTGCCCTGATGAGGCAGAAACATCTGTGTGCGTGCTACGTGTATAGCCTCACTGACATTGGCGGTGCCACCCCGATGCTGGAGTCTAAGTAGTGCCAGATACAGCTGCTTCTTGTCGCGATAGTCACTCATCTGAAACTCAACATGAGCCTTGTCGTTGAAGGTCATGAAGCCAACCCGGACATTGCCGCCATTGATGTCGCTGTGGACTAGGTAGAAGCGGACGAAGTCAAGAGCAAGGTTGAAGTTGAAGAGGCCAAACTCAGACGAGGTTTCCAGAATGAAGACGAGATCAACCCGGGCATCCCCACAACCTGGAACACAAAACACACAGACTAATGAGGCATCCAACTATTGCAGGAGTTGTCAAAACATACAGCGACTATTGGGGCATCAAACTATTGCAGGAGTTGCCAAAACACACAGCGACTATTGGGGCATCAAACTATTGCAGGAGTTGTCAAAACACACAGTGACCATTGGGGCATCAAACTATTGCAGGAGTTGTCAAAACATACAGTGACCATTGGGGCATCAAACTATTGCAGGAGTTGTCAAAACACACAGTGACAATTGGGGCATCCAACTATTGCAGGAGTTGTCAAAACATACAGTGACTATTGGGGCATCAAACTATTGCAGGAGTTGTCAAAACATACAGTGACTATTGGGGCATCCAACTATTGCAGGAGTTGTCAAAACACACAGTGACCATTGAGGCATCCAACTATTGCAGGAGTTGTCAAAACACACAGTGACCATTGGGGCATCCAACTATTGCAGGAGTTGTCAAAACACACAGCGTCTATTAGGGCATCCAACTATTGCAGGAGTTGTCAAAACACACAGCGTCTATTAGGGCATCCAACTATTGCAGGAGTTGTCAAAACACACAGTGACTATTGGGGCATCCAACTATTGCAGGAGTTGTCAAAACACACAGCGTCTATTAGGGCATCCAACTATTGCAGGAGTTGTCAAAACACACAGTGACTATTGAGGCATCCAACTATTGCAGGAGTTGTCAAAACACACAGTGACTATTGAGGCATCCAACTATTGCAGGAGTTGTCAAAACACACAGCGACTATTAGGGCATCCAACTATTGCAGGAGTTGTCAAAACACACAGCGACTATTAGGGCATCCAACTATTGCAGGAGTTGTCAAAACACACAGGGACTATTGAGGGCATCTACATGGCTTGTCATAAAACTTAATAAAATTTAGGATTGTGTTTTCAAAATTGGGTGGTTCTTACCTCAAGCTATCATGCCTGACCCAGATGTGAGACTCTAAGGGCCGTGTGGCAACATAGAAATGTGCTGACTGCGCCCAAATAATTCACTCACTCACTCACTCACTGATGTCTGCTTGGGGAAGGTCACTCACGTCTGTTTTGATGCGTGTTGTTTTTCCGGATGTACCACGACACAGCTGGTGTTGGTGTCCCCGCAACGTCACACTCCAGAGTCACGCTGTCCCCAGCCGCCACTGTCACTGTCTCCAGAGATGCCTCGATGTGGGGTGGCACTGAGAAGTAGAGGTGAATATCGTGAAGCAACTAAATCTATTCCACTCCTGCCCATCCACCCACTCGCCCATCCAGCCAAACACTTACCCATCCACTAGACCATCCACTTGCTAAATCCATTCAGCCATCCACCGTCTCACCCACCCTCTCACTCATCCACTCACTCACCTATCAAACCAACCATCCACCCAACCTTCCACTCATTCATCCAAACAACCATCCACCCAACCATCCAGCTAACTCCACACAATTCACAGCCATTCACTGATCAACACATTCACTCTCCCAACCATACATCACTCACCCATCCACACATTCACTCACCCATCCACACATTCACTCACCCATCCACACATTCACTCACCCATCCATACATTCACTCACCCATCAACACATTCACTCTCCCAACCATACATAACTCACCCATCCATACATTCACTGGCCCAACCATACATAACTCACCCATCCGCACAGTCACTCACACAACCCTACATAACTCACCCATCCACATATTCACTCATCCAACCATACATAACTCACCCATCCACACATTCACACCCATCCACATACATCCAACCATACATAACTCACCCATCCACACAGTCACTCACACAACCATACATAACTCAACCATCCACATATTCACTCGCCCAAACATACATAACTCACCCATCAACACAGTCACTCTCCCAGCCATACATAACTCACCCATCCACATATTCACTCGCCCAACCATACATAACTCACCCATCAACACAGTCACTCTCCCAACCATACATAACTCACCCATCCACATATTCACTCATCCAACCATACATAACTCACCCGTCCACACATTCACACCCATCCACATACATCCAACCATACATAACTCACCCATCAACACAGTCACTCTCCCAACCATACATTACTCAACCATCCACATATTCACTCATCCAACCATACATAACTCACCCGTCCACACATTCACTCGCCCAACCATACATAACTCACCCATCCACACATTCACACCCATCCACATACATCCAACCATACATAACTCACCCATCAGCACAGTCACTTACACATCCACACATTCACTCTGCCAACCATACATAACTCACCCATCCACACATTCACACCCATCCACATACATCCAACCATATATAACTCACCCATCCGCACAGTCACTCACACAACCATACATAACTCACCCATCCACACATTCACTCTCCCAACCATACATAACTCACCCATCCACACCCATCCAACCATACATAACTCACCCATGCACACATTCACTCACCCACTCTGTCACGTGTCTGCCACTCACCCATGATGGAGACCAGATATTTGCGTATCGCTTGTTTGTCATTCATACAGACATAGACTCCACCGTCAGACTCCATGGCGCCGAAGTTGGCGATCCTCAGGTTCCAGTCCTTGAGGAAGGGTTGGCTGACGGAGACCCGGGAGTCACTGACGAACCGCTGAGTCCCTCCCGTCAACTGCCGCATGCTAGTCTCACTGACCTTGCTCCAGGACACCTACAAGGGAGGCAACTCTTACTCAGACACGCACACATCATGGCAGACTTCGGTGGCCATTTCAGGGATTTATCTAGGACTTCAAACTAAGTGTCCTTGGCAGGCAACATTTTTAAAAAACATCAAAATTGGGATATATTTAATGTTCATATTTCTATAAAATCAGAGTTATTTTAACATGTTAACAATGCATTTGTTGCAAGATTGTAAAACTAAAGCAAAAAAGCCTCTTCCTCTTTATCGGTCCTGTCAAAAGTGTAATAGACGCTCTCTGTCGTCTCTAAAAGACACCCAGTGACAGAAGAACCATATAAACTGGTTGCCAAAGGTCTGATATGTTACTGCCGTGCTTTGTGTTGTGGTCTCTCTTTTGTCTATATGTCCTATGAGGCCCCTGACCAGGTTATCAATTCTAATTACAGATAAAATAAAAAGAATGAAGTTGGATCTAAAGTTTATTTTAACAAAAACAACAGGAGACATACCTTCCCTGACTTAATTTAAAAGACAAACCTACCTACTTTTTCCCCTTCACTACCTTCGTACATCCAACACTTGAACTTCATATATTACAACACCCTCTAACTCCCCTTATAACATATACTCAAATAAACCTATTTTATTCCTATGCTAATTCTCCCCATCTATATCTTACCCTAACCTAACAACATTATCCCAAACAAGAAAACTAATAACTGATGAAAATGAAAAGGTCCTGATTCAAGACACAAGACCCAACTACATATTTTACCAGATACTGGTGAAAGAACGACTGACGATTCCCTTCCAAGGGTAGGCTTCTATAGCCGACACGTGGACCATGTGACCAGGAAAACAGACACAACCAATGAACACGCTCATTACATCTTGTCTCTCTCAATCATAAGTGATGCTTGGCCGAACATGCAAGGAGCTTTCCATCGTCCCATCTCCCAAGCCACTACACTCATGTGCGCATAAGCTACTACAACTACAGTCAAGTCCCGTTAATCCGACATTGTTGGTTGCATATGATTATGTCGGATTAACGAGTATGTCGGATAAACAAAATTAGGTAGTATCAACGTTTGTGATCGAAAAATTGGACATCCTGTCAGTAATTTCATTGGTCGGTCAAAGTTCGCGAAAGGTCGTTCTGACGTGACCTGTAATGGGATGTCTTAAGCGGTAGCGAGAACTTGTATCCAATTTTAATGGGATTGAGGTAATCTAGGCATGTGCTTAATCCTGTTTTGTGTATTTAAAAAATTAATTGTTTATTGTTAAGCAAGTTTATCTCTGCAGCCTTTGAAAAATGCAGCTACTCGCTGACTCGACTTGCATCAAAACACGGGCTGTGTACTCGCGGGCAGATGACCACTGAGTACGCTGATCACTGTGTCGGATAAATGAGACTGATTAATTAGTGATTTCAGCATTTTGTTGCAAATTAGGTGTGTCGGAGTCGGAGTGAGAGACTATCGGATGAACGGGTCTAAATAGCACTGATTAAATCGGTTCCCATCATTTGTGTCGGACAAAGCCGATTGTGGTATAATTGAGTGTCGGATTAACAAGACATGACTATACAAAGTAAGGTACTACGTCAGCAGAACAAATTCCTGTAAACTAACCCACCCACTACGTTTCTAAAATCCTTAGTCAACCACAAACATAAAATACAAGCCATATCTACATAGCCACAACAGAAGTTATGACTTTACAACTGTTAAAGCAAAGCATGAAATTGTAGCCATCCTTGATGAGCCGGAGTATTATATTTTCATTTTTTCAGAACTAACACCCTGGACTCATTTATTACCATTGTTCTGTTTTAAGTCAAATTTGAAAGTAACAGTGCTAAAACAGCAGGCCAATAAAATGACTTTCCTTTCCTGATTAACACATGGAGACATCCCCAGTTCTTTCCCACAAGGACTCTTCTTGCTGAGAACATTTCAAATACAAGTGGGGCAGTGGGGTAGCCTAGTGGTTAAAAGTGTTCGCTCGTCATGCCAAAGACCCGGGTTCAATTCCCCACATGGGTATAATGTGTGAAGCCCATTTCTGGTGTCCCCACCTCCCCATGATATTGGTTGGATATTGCTAAAAGCGGCATAAAACAATATTTAATCACTCTCAAATACATGTGGGAATGCCTGGTAGCATTTATATTCTCAGGAATACAGTTTATCCAGCTAGAATTCATTTATGATCAGTCTTCTGATTGGATTAAATATCAAGGTGGAGGGTAGAGGACTCGCTTGTTTTACTCAGATCTTGAGCAAACTTTCATTTTCACAATCTTTTTGTTTTTTATCTTAAGCACATACAGGAGAGATATTCTGTGCTGTATCTGTTAACTGAGAGATTGTCATGGTATCAACACTGGAAGGAGACATCAAACACATGAGAATCAAGGTGGTGTTTGTCATGTGTTACCCTGGTAACAAGTTGAGGTCTGGTGATGCTACAGGTCAAGGTCAACACACGCTGCTTCCCCTGGGCGATGCTGAATACGGGCGTGGTGCCATCAAACACGCTGCTGCTCACTGAAACATTAACCATGCAGTCGTCATTTTCAAATCAAGTTTTCATATCACGTTGTTACTGAAACACTTTGAAAATGCATGGAGGATTTTTACTCTTGACAAATATCAAGTGACTGGAAGCTTATGTCCAGGTATGACAACGTGAATCAGGATTCAAACTCAGACAACATTATTGCAATGTTGCTTGCCTTCAGCCTTGGCTACCACATACTAATTTCTTTGTTGTCTGTCAGTTCACTGAAAATATTCCCCAAATTCCACTTTACATTTTCCTCATGTGTCAGTATACAAAGAGATTCCTGAAGCTCAGGCAAAGACATGGGAAAGTCTGGAAGGACTACATATAATGATCTTGACATGCCACATAAACCACTGAAATATGGACTTGTCTGAAATATGGACTATATGTTCAGTATATGGACAGTTCAACAGATGTCTGTTAACAGTGTTCACCACGAACACAGGTCCACTGAGTCTACTTTATTTATTGTTGCCATGGAAATGTAAAACATAAAAATTTATAAAACTCCTAAATAGCAAAAAGCACCAGTTCAGTATGTGCCTAGTAGACATGCAAAGTTTTGTAAGAAAGTATTTAATGGTTTTTGAGTTACGCTCCGGAAACAAACAGCACCCTTATAGAACCTAAGTCCAACTTGTTGCCATGGAAACGTAAAAAATTTATAAAATTCCTAAATAGCAAAAGGCACCAGTTCTGATAGACATGCAAAGTTTCGTAGAGAAATATTTAACGGTTTCTGAGTTATGCTCCGGAAACGATGAGGGACGCACACACGCACACACGCAAACACAGACAGAACCCATTTCTATATCCCCCACCAACTTCGTTGGGGCGGGGGATAATGAGTATATACCCCTGAATTTAGGAAAATAATAACTTTAATAAAAAATCCCCATTTTTTAACAAAGTAATGATTTTTTCTCAATTTGCCTGCCAAAGACACTAAGCTTGGAATCCTAGATAAATCATTGATAGAACCCCGGTGTTGATCACGTGATTCAGAAAGGTACCAGCATCTGTATCGATCCATCGCATTGAAAGATGAGAGACCGTAAATGATCTGTGTATACACTAATGCTACAGCTTCTAAAAGCCATTACATCAGGAACTGTCCAAAACAGATTCCAAACATGTTAGTGTTTGACAAAGGAAAATGTATGTCAGGACCAAGTGCAGCTTACCGAGACTTGCATTGGTGTGGGGAATCTTGCACAGGCCTGAAAAAAAAAGGCACAAATTCTATACAACATCCAAAACCACAATACATTATAGCTGAACTTGTTTTACATGATGTAATCAACATAGAGATGTCCTCTACACACACAAAATATGGTTTAATATCAATATCCTCACACTGTAGATATCCCCCTCCCCCAGACACTGACTCACACTGTAGATATCCCCCTCTCCCAGACACTGACTCACACTGTTGATATCTCCCTCCACTTGACACTGACTCACACTGTAGATATCCCCTCCCCCAGACACTGACTCACACTGTAGATATCGCCTCTCCAAGACACTGACTCACACAGTAGATATCCCCCTCTCCAAGACACTGACTCACACTGTAGATATCCCTTCTCCCAGACACTGACTCACACAGTAGATATCCCCCTCCCAGACACTGACTCACACTGTAGATATCCCCCTCTCCCAGACACTGACTCACACTGTAGATATCCCCCTCCCCCAGACACTGACTCACACTGTAGATATCCCCCTCCCCCAGACACTGACTCACACTGTAGATATCCCCTCCCCAAGACACTGACTCACACTGTAGATATCCCCTCTCCCAGACACTGACTCACACTGTAGATATCCCCCTCTCCCAGACACTGACTCACACTGTAGATATCCCCCTTCCCCAGACACTGACTCACACTGTAGATATCCCCCTTCCCCAGACACTGACTCACACTGTAGATATCCCTTCTCCCAGACACTGACTCACACAGTAGATATCCCCCTCTCCCAGACACTGACTCACACTGTAGATATCCCCCTCTCCCAGACACTGACTCACACTGTAGATATCCCCCTCTCCCAGACACTGACTCACACTGTAGATATCCCCCTCTCCCAGACACTGACTCACACTGTTGATATCTCCCTCCACTTGACACTGACTCACACTGTAGATATCCCCTCCCCCAGACACTGACTCACACTGTAGATATCGCCTCTCCAAGACACTGACTCACACAGTAGATATCCCCCTCTCCAAGACACTGACTCACACTGTAGATATCCCTTCTCCCAGACACTGACTCACACAGTAGATATCCCCCTCCCAGACACTGACTCACACTGTAGATATCCCCCTCTCCCAGACACTGACTCACACTGTAGATATCCCCCTTCCCCAGACACTGACTCACACTGTAGATATCCCCCTTCCCCAGACACTGACTCACACTGTAGATATCCCCTCTCCCAGACACTGACTCACACTGTAGATATCCCCCTCTCCAAGACACTGACTCACACTGTAGATATCCCCTCCCCCAGACACTGACTCACACTGTAGATATCCCCCTTCCCCAGACACTGACTCACACTGTAGATATCACCCTCCCAGACACTGACTCACACTGTAGATATCCCCCTTCCCCAGACACTGACTCACACAGTAGATATCCCCCTCTCCCAGACACTGACTCATACTGTAGATATCCCCCTCTCCCAGACACTGACTCACACTGTAGATATCCCTTCTCCCAGACACTGACTCACACAGTAGATATCCCCCTCTCCCAGACACTGACTCACACAGTAGATATCTCCTCCCCCAGACACTGACTCACACAGTAGATATCCCCCTCCCAGACACTGACTCACACTGTAGATGTCTCCTCCCCCAGACACTGACTCACACTGTAGATATCCCCCTCTCCCAGACACTGACTCACACTGTAGATATCTCCTCCCCCAGACACTGACTCACACAGTAGATATCCCCCTCTCCCAGACACTGACTCACACTGTAGATATCCCTTCTCCCAGACACTGACTCACACAGTAGATATCCCCCTCCCAGACACTGACTCACACTGTAGATATCCCCCTCTCCCAGACACTGACTCACACTGTAGATATCCCCTCCCCCAAACACTGACTCACACTGTAGATATCCCCCTCTCCCAGACACTGACTCTCACTGTAGATATCCCCCTCTCCCAGACACTGACTCACACTGTAGATATCCCCCTCTCCCAGACACTGACTCACACTGTAGATATCCCCCTCTCCCAGACACTGACTCACACTGTAGATATCCCCCTCTCCCAGACACTGACTCTCACTGTAGATATCCCCCTCTCCCAGACACTGACTCACACAGTAGATATCCCCTCCCCCAAACACTGACTCACACTGTAGATATCCCCCTCTCCCAGACACTGACTCTCACTGTAGATATCCCCCTCTCCCAGACACTGACTCACACTGTAGATATCCCCCTTCCCCAGACACTGACTCACACTGTAGATATCCCCTCCCCCAAACACTGACTCACACTGTTGATATCCCCCTCTCCCAGACACTGACTCACACTGTAGATATCCCCCTCTCCCAGACACTGACTCACACTGTAGATATCCCCCTTCCCCAGACGCTGACTCACACTGTAGATATCCCCCGTCCAGACACGGACTCACACTGTAGATATCCCCTCCCCCAGACACTGACTCACACTGTAGATATCCCCCTCTCCCAGACACTGACTCACACTGTAGATATCCCCCTTCCAGACACTGACTCACACTGTAGATATCCCCTTCCCCAGACACTGACTCACACTGTAGATATCCCCCTTCCCCAGACACTGACTCACACTGTAGATATCCCCCTCTCCCAGACACTGACTCACCCACAGATATCTGACTCCCCTAGACACTGACTGTAGATATCCCCCTCTCCCAGACACTGACTCACCCATAGATATCCCCCTTCCCCAGACACTAACTCACCCTGTTGTGTGCTGTTGAGGTCCTCTACTCTGATACACAGGTCGTTAAGATGTTCAACCAGGCTTTGTCTGTCCACTTTGCTCATGGACAAGTCCCTTGATGCAAACACAACCATTTGCTGTTCCACAGAACATGTTCCACCATCCTCCATCTTGAAGCACACATAAAAAATGGCTGCCTTGTCGGTCACAGTCACAACTTTGAGAATTGCTGAAAAAGATTAAAAATACAGCAGGTCTGAATCTATGTGTTACATAAAAACACATTGATGAACATACCAGATTCCCCACCTTTGCCCAGACTCCCCATCCCCACCCACCTGTGTCCAGACTCCCTCCCCGCCCACCTGCATCCTGACTCCCCGTCCGCACCCACCTGCGTCCTGACTCCCCGTCTGCACCCACCTGTGTCCTGACTCCCTCCCCACCCACCTGTATCCTGACTAGCTCCCCACCCACCTGTGTCCAGACTCCCTGCCCTCATCCCCTTTGTCCAGACCCCCTCCCCACCCACCTGTGTCCAGACCCCCTCCCCACCCATCTGTGTCCAGACTCCCTCCCCACCCACCTGTGTCCTGACTACCTCCCCACCCATCTGTGTCCTGACTCCCTCCCCACCCACCTGTGTACAGACTCCCTTCCCTCATCCCCCTGTGTCCAGACCCAACCCCCACCCACCTGTGTCCAGACTCCCTCCCCACCCCCCTGTGTCCTGACTACCTCCCTACCCATCTGTGTCCCGACTCCCTCCACACCCACCTGTGTCCTGACTACCTCCCCACCCACCTGTGTCCTGACTACCTCCCCACCCATCTGTGTCCTGACTACCTCCCCACCCATCTGTGTCCTGACTACCTCCCTACCCATCTGTGTCCTGACTACCTCCCCACCCATCTGTGTCCTGACTACCTCCCCACCCATCTGTGTCCTGACTACCTCCCTACCCATCTGTGTCCTGACCCCCTCCCCACCCACTTGTGTCCAGACCCCCTTCCCACCAACCTGTGTCCAGACCCTCTCTCCACCCACCTGTGTCCAGACCCCCTCCCCACCAACCTGTGTCCAGACCCCCTCTCCACCCACCTGTGTCCTGACTACCTCCCCACCCATCTGTGTCCTGACCCCTCCCCACCCACCTGTGTCCTGACTACCTCCCCACCCATCTGTGTCCTGACTCCCTCCCCACCCACCTGTGTCCTGACCCCCTCCCCACCCACCTGTGTCCTGACTACCTCCCCACCCACGTGTGTCCTGACTACCTCCTCACCCATCTGTGTCCTGACCCCCTCCCCACCCATCTGTGTCCTGACTACCTCCCCACCCACCTGTGTCCAGACTCCCTTCCCTCATCCCCTTTGTGTCCAGACCCCATCCCCACCCACCTGTGTCCAGACTCCCTCCCCACCCACCTGTGTCCTGACTACCTCCCCACCCATCTGTGTCCTGACCCCCTCCCCACCCACCTGTGTCCTGACTTCCTCCCCACCCATCTGAGTCCTGACTCCCCGTCCCCACCCACCTGTGTCCCGACTACCTCCCCACCCATCTGTGTCCTGACTCCCCATCCCCACCCATCTGTGTCGTGACTCCCCGTCCCCATCCACCTGTGTCCTGACTACCTCCCTACCCATCTGTGTCCTGACTCCCCGTCCCCACCCACCTGTGTCCTGACTACCTCCTCACTCATCTGTGTCCTGACTCCCCATCCCCACCCACCTGTGTCCAGACTCCCTCCCCACCCACCTGTGTCCTTACTCCCCGTCCGCACCCACCTGTGTCCTGACTCCCTCCCCACCCACCTGTGTCCAGACCCCCTCCCCACCAACCTGTGTCCAGACCCCCTCTCCACCCACCTGTGTCCAGACTACCTCCCAAACCAACCTGTGTCCAGACCCCCTCTCCACCCACCTGTGTCCAGACCCCCTCTCCACCAATCTGAGTCCTGTCTCCCCGTCCCCACCCACCTGTGTCCTGACTACCTCCCCACCCACCTGTGTCCTGACTCCCCGTCCCCACCCATCTGTGTCCTGACTCCCCGTCCCCATCCACCTGTGTCCTGACTACCTCCCTACCCATCTGTGTCCTGACTCCCCGTCCCCACCCACCTGTGTCCTGACTACCTCCCCACCCATCTGTGTCCTGACTGCCCATCCCCACCCACCTGTGTCCAGACTTCCTCCCCACCCACCTGTGTCCTGACTCCCCGTCCGCACCCACCTGTGTCCTGACTCCCTCCCCACCCACCTGTGTCCAGACCCCCTCTCCACCCACCTGTGTCCAGAGCCCCTCTCCACCCATCTGTGTCCAGACTCCCTGTCCTCACCCTCCTGTGTCCAGACCCCTCCCCACCCACCTGTGTCCTGCTTCATGTAGCGGAAGCTGCCTGGGATGCTTGTAGACTCCAACAATGCCACAAGAGGGTCGGCACATCTAGAATTGGCCGGCTTATACCTGAAATTTAACAAGATGGATTCTGAAATGTTTGTCCTGTTGTGCATGCAAAGAATATGTTGACTCATAAAATTTGGCTATATAATGCATAATGGAGTAAATGAGGTATTCAACATACATGTATATGGCTTAATGCAAGGGGCTAACTGGCCGTCCAACATGTCTCTCCCTATTGGTATTCCAACAAGGCTCTCCCTACTGGTCGTCCAACAAGGCTCTCCCTACTGGCCATACAAAAGGCTCTCCCTACTGGCTGTCTAACAAGGTCCTCCATACTGGCAGTCCAACAAGGTCCTCCCTACTGGCAGTCCAACAGGGTCCTCCCTACTGGCTGTCCAACAAGGCTCTCTCTGCTGGCCGAACCTGAACCCCACACACACGGTTATCACTAACAACACCCCACACAATGCCCTGTACCCAAACACAGATCTACACACACGGTTATCACTAACAACACCCCACACAATGCCCTGTACCCCAACACAGATCTACACACCCGGTTATCACTAACAACACCCCACACAATGCCCTGTACCCAAACACAGATCTACACACACGGTTATCACTAACAACACCCCACACAATGCCCTGTACCCCAACACAGATCTACACACCCGGGTATCACTAACAACACCCCACACAATGCCCTGTACCCAAACACAGATCTACACACCCGGTTATCACTAACAACACCCCACACAATGCCCTGTACCCAAACACAGATCTACACACACGGTTATCACTAACAACACCCCACACAATGCCCTGTACCCAAACACAGATCTACACACACGGTTATCACTAACAACACCCCACACAATGCCCTGTACCCAAACACAGATCTACACACCCGGTTATCACTAACAACACCCCACACAATGCCCTGTACCCAAACACAGATCTACACACCCGGTTATCACTAACAACATCCCACACAATGCCCTGTACCCAAACACAGATCTACACACACGGTTATCACTAACAACACCCCACACAATGCCCTGTACCCAAACACAGATCTACACACACGGTTATCACTAACAACACCCCACACAATGCCCTGTACCCCAACACAGATCTACACACCCGGGTATCACTAACAACACCCCACACAATGCCCTGTACCCCAACACAGATCTACACACACGGTTATCACTAACAACACCCCACACAATGCCCTGTACCCCAACACAGATCTACACACCCGGTTATCACTAACAACACCCCACACAATGCCCTGTACCTCTATGATACAGAAAGTATGATGCAAAGACACCCATTGCTCAGAATTTTGATTACGATTTTATTATGGCTGTGCATTGTTCTGTTAAATCAAATACTGTAAGTAGGACTAATCGTTACTATTTACTTATATAATTGATGAAATATTGACACATATGATGCCATGCTTTGCATTTCTATCGGTCAAAAGTCCAACCAGTTAAACAAACCATCTGTCAAATTGAAATTATATCGGTCGATGACAGGTGACTGACAGCTATCTGAAGCTCTGCCCTGTACCCCAACACATAGTTACCTACCCAGTTATCACTACCACCGTGGTTCCATCGTGGCCAAGGACGAAATTCCACACCTGCGAGGTCCATGTCGCCTCCCCCCATATGGACGTGGTACGCTCCGAGATGTACCAAACTCCAGCAACCTGAACAAAGAAACACTGTATGTCATAGGTGATGCGCTATGATGGATCATTATTGTCTCTACTTGAGGTCATGTGAACAGAGTAATATGTTTTATGTCCCACTGCATGGCTTCCACTGACGAACCGTACATGACCTATGGTTCCAAAGATGTCGCCAGAATAAGAGAAAATGCTGCTTCGATTGATTTGTATGTGTGAAGGTTTAGTATGGGTGGCCATTTGGTAAAAAAATACAAAGTTGAAATAAAGGACAAACATACCCAATAATAGTCAAATGGTGCGGATACACAATGAATGTTACAAATAAAGGTTATTATTTACATACGAATAATGAACTCAAAATACAAAACAATACCAATGAACATCTCACAAACAAAAGATGTCATATGTAAAGAAAGAACAATGTGTACTAAAGAACGTCAGTGCACATTAAAGACACTAAACTGTGAAAGGACGTTGACAATAAAGAATGGCAGATGGTGCTGCAATATATTATTTAGTACGTTTGTCATAGGGCTGGGACGAGTCCAAATTAACTACCCGGGTACCCACCCCCCTATTACCCAACCCTACTTGGGTAGCCACTGTAGGTCTCAGATGTCTCAAAAAGTCCGATTGGGAACATTTTTAGCATAGCTCTGGCAAAACGTATTTAGATACATGTATTAAACAATCTGGTCATGCATACACTGAAGCTGAAATAAGTTATATCTTTATTCAACCATATGAAAAATCAGAAGGAATGGGTGCTTAGTCAGAAAGAAGTGCGAACATTAGTGACTTGTAGTGTAACCATAGAGTTCTTGATAATTTTTGTCATTAAACAATATATCACGTGACTAACCACGGGTTCTGGTAGTCCTGTGGGTACCCGGGTCTTACTCAGTACCCACCCGACCCGGGTACCCGAGTTACCAGTCCCAGCCCTAGTTTGTCACATTTCAACGTTGTATTTTTTTTCCGAATGGCTGCCCATACATTGGACCACTTTTGGTTAAAAGGGTGTCTTTGATTTTTGTTTAGTTTCTTTGTTTTACGCGCACTCAGTGAATATCACAACTATATGACGATGGTCTGTAAATAATCTGGTCTGGACCAGCCCAGATGATCCAATGTGAATGGTGCTAAGAGTAACACACACACCACATCACTCCCCACCACCAAACCCCCACCACCCCCCCCCCCCCCCCCACCCCCCCCCACACACACACACACACCCACACACACACACGCATACACACACATCCCCACCCCTCCCAAATCCGGGTATGTTCAAAGGCAACCAACTCAAGCCTGACTACCCGATTCATTAGGTCGCCATTTTCAACAAGTATAGGCTGCTGCAGATCAATTCTAATCTTAACTTATCATCTGGCTGATTTTTATCACAGCTAAACAATAAGCCATTATATCATGGGACATATATTTCTGTGGTCTACACACCATGTCATATCGTCTTCGCTGCTGTCTGACAAGGGACTCAGCTCGCTTTGTAACTAGCGTTTTCCGTCGGTGGTGCTAGCGCTCACGAATCAGGGGAGATAACTATGTGTGATTGCAGTTTAGACCCACTCAGCACTATTCCAGCAGAATGACAGCGTCGTCTAAATAATTGAGTCTGGACCAGACATTCGGAGATAACGTAAGTATCGCTACCTGGTAATTGATTTTCGTTTGAGACATAATTTTAGTACGTTGTCCAATATTTGTCAACTGATTTTACCAATAGCAGTGATCAAAACAGCCTTGAAGTATGATCCTTCCTCGGGCATAGTTTGACAATATTAACTATTTTTTATACAAATGTGTAACAGCTTTCAAGGGTTGTATTTTTTCTGCTAGTTAACACACACACACACACACACACACACACACACAGAGAGAGAGAGAGAGAGAGAGAGGGGCGGTGGGGTTGCCTTATGGATAAAACATTAGCTCATCACGCCCGTGAATATCCGGGGTAGAAGGATAGGTCTTCAGCAACCCATGCTCGCCGTAAAAGGCGACTAACGGGATCGGGTGGTCAGGCTCGCGGACTTGGTTGATGCATGCCATCGATCCCAATTGCGTGGGTCGATGCTCATGATATCAATCATTGGACTTTATTATTTACAGACCACCGCCATTTAGCTGGAATATTTCTGAGTGCGGCATTAAACAACAAACCAACAAACCAATCATCACGCCGTAAACCAGGTTGGAATCCCTTTATGGGTACAATGTATGAAGCTGATTTCTGATGTTCTTCGCACTCATATTGCTAAAGGCGGCGTAAAAACATACACACTCCCTCCACCGCAAAGACGGGTCGTGTGCAGTTCCGAGTATATGAACCGTCATCAACGTGTGAAGATATAATCCTTCTCCACTACCACGACTACACCAGGAATCGGGGCGGATTTTATCATATTTTACGCCCACCAGAGGTTTGCCCTTGTGGAGATTCCTAGTCAGATTGCGCCCAGTACCTCATTCTCGTCAGCGCCTAAAATGTCGATCGGGTGGTCAGGAACGGACACTCGGCTGAGCATATGTAATTTAATCTCAGTCTCGGTTACTTACAGACCGCAGTTTTGCTGATAAACAGCCAGGCATAAGAAGGTATATACTTGAAAATTGGATTTGATCAAAACAGTCGCCGAAACGATCCCAACGTACTTGTAAGAACACAAACACAACTATTATATGATACCCGTGGTTATGGCCCGGGAAGGCGAAAATCAATCCCTCAGAGTTAGAAATTACGTTCGCCTTCCCGGTCATCACCGGCCCGACACCATACCCGTATCAATGACATCTCCATCGAACCGTTTCTTGTTTATTTGAATTTTAGCCACCATGAAACGGAGGTGTAGACTTTCTTTGGCCCGGCAGGTTATAGTGCTGTGCTAAACAAAAATTCACTCACTACCTCACGAAAGACTGAGCAGTTAAATCAGTTAAGGGGATGTTATCATAACGCGGACTTTACTGTGAAACAAGCGGAAGATCGATGCCTATGCATGTCTACTACGGATACCCGAAACGGGCTTCACAGTGATGTCATAGTCTGTCTTACAGATGCAAGTCTATAATGTTTGGCAAGTCTAGATTACTGCAGTATCAGGAAATGAAGAGAGTCTCTGGGCTCTTTATCATATTTTTATTAAGACAATTTAACAACTGTTTTTTTCTGTACGATATGTTAATTTCAGAGACGAAGTTAGTCTAGTGATGTCATTACACAGTAGATACTACACTGATGAGTGGTCAAGATTATATGTCATCTCATCCCAATTGCGTAGATCGATGCTCATGATGTCAATCACTGGATAGTCTGGTCCAGGGTCGATTATTTACAGACCGCCATCATATAGCTGGAATATTGCTGAGTGCAACAACAAAAAACACATAAACAAACAAACATATCTTCTTGAGATATGCAACTCGGTTAACATAGGCACTCTCGACACCAGCTCGATTTGATGTATAGCTTTAGAAGGGGGAGACTCGCACCGGGAGGAGGGATATCTCCTTGACCCCTGACCCCGTCCCACAATTAACGCGCAGTACCGAGGTGTCGGTGACAGGGTTGAGTAACGAGCTATTGTGAAACCCGACCACAAGACAGTCAGACAGACTCCGACCGCTGGCCGCACCATTCCCAGCATTCTTCCAGTCAGCTCGAGTAACCCTTACATCAAAGACGTACAATAATGTAGAATCCTTGAACTGTTAACCAAAGACGTGGAATGTTCGCACAATTAATTATTTCACGCCAACAAACGACCTATGGCATAAAATGTTAATTTGTATTCAAAATTATGTTTGTTTGTTGTTAAACGCCGCAATCAGCAATAGTCCAGCTATATGACGACAGTCTGTAAATAATCATTTTGGACCAGACAATCCATTGATTGACATCGTGAGCTACGATCTACGCAATCGGGACACGATGACATGCATCAACCGAGTCAGCGAGCCTGACTACCCGATCCCGTTAGTCGCCATTACGGCATAGTCGCCTCTTAGGACAAGCATGGGTTACTGAAGATCTATATTCTCTATATTCTATATTCCCGGGTCTTCCTGGGTCCGTAGTTATGTACTCAGAATACTAATGGTTATCTGAATTAATAAAACAAATTAATTTGGTATCATTATTCTTTAATTGGAAAAAAATATTGTTCCTGAATACAGTAAGACTTATCTGACAACATTCTAGTAATGAATGAAAATATCATTTTAGGTATTAGGATAGATTGTGTAGCATATATATTTTCAATACGTACAGGGCATAAGTAAGCTGAAAGTGTGTAGAATATAAACTGTCGGAATATCCCTCTCGGAATATCCCTCTCATTGTTTATGGTGGCTAAAAATGAAACAAACAGGAAGAGGTTATTCGATGGTGATGCATTTGATACGGGTGTCATATAGTTGTATTTTGGACATTCCGTTTGCAGTGTTTCGGCGACTGTTTTCAGCCTAGAAACGTTTTGATAACATGTGTAATGTTTTCCCCGGCAGTGAAGTTGTTACAGAATATACTGAATTTGTTATTGCAACAGTTTATGACTAAAGTCGTCAACTGTCGGGGACCATCCTTGACATCGAGTTGTCTGCAGTTAGACATACAAGCAGTAAACACGCATAACCCACATACAGTGTGGTAGAGTAGCTTAGTCTTTGAAAGTATATTTTTGATAGAAACAAATAGCTCATTTAAATTGAAAAGGAGCTCCACTGAGATGGAAGATCCTCAGGAATATCTAGACTTGCTCCATTTAGTGCTTTTGAATTACAGAAAGAGCTGTGTGGCAGGGAAAATAATATGGTTCGGGGACTGTAAGACAGACTAACAGTGTGATAAGGACCATGTTGGGACAATACATCGGCTTAAATGAGAGTTCGGGTTATGGTCGTGAGGTAACGAGGTTTCAGTCTATTATTGATTTTAAATATGAAACAAAAAGTAAAACAACGCTGCCTGGTATTGTGGATATTTTACAACGACTTCGCTATGACGTTAATTTCGGGCCACCATCTTCTGTCTTGGTTAAGGGAGGTTGAACCTTGGCTGTTAACACTTCAGTACTTGGCATAAAGTCACATTACACAGCTGGAAAACTTATGAAGCCAAGTAACTATAAACTTACTTCTTCATTTTACATGTTATACAATTTTGTAAGTAATATCACTTGTCAAAAATGCACGTACAATTGACTTCAAGAAAAAATTGTTTCCTACAAAAAACTTCTTATAATTAATTAACGAACTTACCTGAGAAAACGTAAAGTTAGGAGCGACGGTTATATCACCTGTCGGACACGGTCCCACGGGGTGGAGGGGGGACGCTGTCGATTTCCTCCATAATAACGCACAGAGCAACACGACAACAGCGCGAGCATCCATGTCTAATGGTAAACTCGCGGCTTCGGCCAGGACAAGAATGGTTTGGCAACTGGTTGCGTTCAGGAGAATTGTTCGTGGTAGTGTGAACGTTCACGTCAGTTACATGTTTGTGAGGATGAGATGAAATCAGGGGTTGTTCTACCATGAACTGATCAGAGTTTTTCTAACCACTTCATGCATTTGTGCAAATATTTAGTACAATTCATCTCGTGTTATCTTCGACAGAAAATATGCTAGAATGTTCGTTTCCCGTTCGGTTATTCATTTCCAGTTTGTTTGTTGTTTGGCGCTGTGCTCAGCAATTGTCCAGCTTTATACCAGCGGCTATACTTACATCTAGTCTCTAAAATGAACATATTTTTCAGAAAAAAACAGTTCTTAAATTATCTTAAAATGATATAATAAAAAGGAGCCGAGATACTTTATTCTTTTTCGGAAACTGCAGTAATATAGACTTGCCAAATATTATAGACTTGCAAGAGCTGGATTGAATATATTTGTTTCAGGGTCTGTAACACAGACTACTCGACGGCCTGTAAATTATTAAGTTTGGACCAGACAAACCAGTGGTCGATATTATGAGCAACGTACCACGTCGTCGGGGTACGATGACACGTTATCAACCAAGTCACCGACTTAACCACCCGGAATCCCCATGTAACACTTGATGGCATTAACAGTTATTAAACGGAGATGAATGGGTTCCGGTGCTGAGCGGGGTTAAAAACGTTATATTTTCTCACTGCAGCCAAACTATCATTACACAGTGAGTGAGTTTTGTTTGTTTGTTGTTTAACAGCGCACTGAGCATTATTCCAACTATATGACGGCGGCGAGTTATTGTGTGAGTGAGTGAATGAGCCGCCATGTTGTAACCCATGCAGTCTTCATAATGATCTTGTAACGTCCCAATTAATTGTCACACAAGAATTCACATAAGACAAATCCTTTTAACTTTTAAGTAACCGTCTTTGAAGCATGTTATCTTAATACAAATTTTGATTTTTCTTTTTTATAACGAGTAAACTGAACTTTTTACACGGTCCCCAGCAACCTATGCTGGTCGAAAAAGGCGAACAGACAACCGGGTGTTCAGTCTTGGTCAGTTGCATGTGATCGTACCCCGACAGGGTGGATCGTTGCTCACAATATCGATCACTGGATTGTTAGGTCCAGATTCGATAATTTACAGGCCGCCGTCATAAAGCTGGAATGTGGCAGAGTGCAGTGTTAAACAAGAAAGACCAAACAATGTGTACAGGACTTGTTTGGTCCTCTGCGCATTAGAAACATTTCGATGGTTACGTGCTCCACAACGGAGCCACGATAACCCTGAGATTGTCATTGTTGATGCTTCGTTCGGCTGAAATGGTTTGGAAGTTTTACATGTTTCTACTTGGTTACAGATTTGACAGTCACATTTGTCTGTGTTCGGGATCTGGTCCAGTGTTCGTCACGATTTCTGGACCACGTGTTGAATGAACACAGGTGGCGGGATGTCCGATCCCGACTGTCGAAATCTAATCTACGTTAACAGATCAAAAACTGATCTCTTTGTCCTGTGGTCATCGACTCAAAAAGATTATTGTCTGTTTAATCACATGGTATCATGTTTGCAGTGATGTTGGTGGAGACACGTGGCATCCATCGTCCCGAGGCATGAGAGTTAACTGACTATAAAAGTCCAGTTTCCACCCTTGCCGAACTAGGCTGGTATTATGAAGTGACATTTTGGCTGGACTAACGAGTCTATGCATAGTCCAATCAAAATCGCGCAACGGAATCGAAATCCGGTTCGTAAACTGGTGTGTCAATTTCGGTCGATTGCAGGATTTGCAAAGCATGTGCATCGCCAAGTCGTTGTCAAAAGATATTTTCCAAACCTTTTCATGTTTTTAATCAAGGTGCTTGCGTGATTTGATGCACCTCGCGATGTAAGACCCGTTTTATCACAATATAGATCTTGATTATCGATCAGATCGTCTTGACTGGGCGCCGCCATTTTGTTTGAAACAAATGCAAGTGGTGGAATCGGATTGGTCCATAGGAGAGGCTTAGAAGGGACGTAACTCATGATAACCACTCGTGGCGCTACGATCGAGCCCAGGAATTCCAGCCAAGTTCGGCAAGGGTGGAAACTGGACTTTTAAAGTCAGTTCACTCTCTTGCCTCGTGAAGATATGTGACATCAGAAAATTCAGGAAACGTTCGATCATGTCAGCACTATGTCACTGGACATTCTTCTCGCTGTATCCTTACCTGTATCCTCGCTGTATCCAGTGAGTATTTAGCAATACACCAGAAATGGGCTTCACGCATTGTATCCATGTGGGGAATCAAACCCAGGTCATCGGCGTCACGTGTGAAGGCGTTAACCACTGGGCTACCCAACCGACCCTCTGTATTATTACCAACTTTGAAAAGAATCTCATAACATTTCTGATAATATTCAGTTAGAAATGACCCGTGAAGATCCGGGTTAGAAAAGGTCTTCAGCAACCCATGTTTGCCGTGAAAGACGACTATGCTTGTGGAAAGAGGCGACTTACGGGATCGGGTGGTCAGGCTCGCTCATTGTGTTAACGCATGTCATCGTATCTCAATTGCGTAGATCGATGCTCATGATGTCAATCACTGGATTGTCTGGTCCAGACTGAATTATTTACAGACTGCCATCATTAAGCGGGATTATTACCGAGTGTGGCGTTAAACAACAAACAAACAAACAAACAAACAAACAAACAAACAACAGAAATATTAACGACTATAAACCGAACTGAAACTCCGTGTAAATACATTGATCGTGAAGTTTAATTCAGGACGAACATCTATGCGCCGTTTTCCAAAATGAATTTGTAATTATCTCATAAATGGTTCTGTAATATATTCTTTACTTTTTGCGATCTTTTATCCTTTTCTGTGTGTTTTTTCCTGGCATGTCTGGTTTAAATGAAACATGACTGAACCAAAACCTTCATTACACACTACAGGGGCGGTGGGGTAGCCTAGTTGTTAATGCGTTCGCTCGCCGAAGACCCGGGTTCGATTCCCGAGATGGGTACAATGTGTGAAGTCCATTTCTGGTGTCCCCCGCCGTGATATTCCTGGAATATTGCTAAAAGCGGCGTAGAACCATACTCACTATAAAGCGTGTTTTTTTCTAATGCTAATTTCTGTACAACTAGCTAGACTGTTTTAACATAGGTTGGCCTTGGTCAAATTTAATGCAACAATACCATGGTGCAGGACTACCTGTTTATACGACCCGTGAAGATCCGGGGTAGAATAGGCCTTCAGCAACCCATGCTTGCCGTAAAAGGCCACAATGCTTATCGTAAGAGGCGACTAACGGGATCGGGTGGTCAGGCTCGCCGCACTCAGCAATATTCCAGCTATATGACGGCGGTCTGTAAATAAACGAGTCTGGACCAGACAATCCAGTGATTAATATCAAGAGCATCGATCCACGCAATTGGGATCGATGACATGCATCAACTAAGTCAGCGAGCCTGACCACCCGATCCCGTTAGTCTCTGATGTAGTGGGGTGTGCTTTGTATGTCTTCCAAGTTCTGTAGTTATTTATGGTATTTAATCTTAGTTCAGAAAAGTGCACTCGATATTTTCTTATTTTAGTGACGGAAATTGGGTTTTTAATTTTATTTAATTTTTAACTGTACCGTACGTCCTAAGTTTGTTTCCTGTGCCTTTAGTTGCATTAGCATGTTGAAAAGAGTTGAATTTAGACTTTATTGTCTCTTTGAATGTTGGTGATAGGAAACCTGAATTACTTATACAGTAAACTACGGATATAACGAATTCAAAGGGACCACTGATTTTAGTTCGTTATATCCGTCGTTCGATATACGCATTTCGACCGTCAGACTTTTAACAAGTCATGTGACATCATCTTACTCGATTGTTTTTTGTGTATTGTGTTTTTCTAAGAATGGATTGAGTTGGTATACCCATCCTAATCCATCCTGAATCGTTTATTTACATATTGAAGAAGCTTTCAGGGGCGAGGCGGGTTTGCGGGAGGAATTCTGTCCACTTTCTTTCATCATTTTAGACGTCATGTTTCCAGGGATGGTTCTCATCAACGGTTTAAGATTGTGTTATTTCTGTCTCTGAATTAACGACCTTGAGTCCGCGAGAAGTTCCCAAAGTTTATAAACATCTCGACTTGACCTCGCTGATGAAGAGGTCACTTGTCAGGGTAAATGGTCTCTGGAGTTTGTCTGGCTAATAGCTGGCCTTAGACGTCGGTGCACGTGTTTATAAACACTGATACAGATCGGCCCCGTCACGTGACCTATGAAGAACCAGATGTGCAGGTGCTTCAAGTGCAAGAGTACATCTAAGCTGAAACAAGGGATTCCATTTTCAGGTTACAGTTAAGTGCTGCTCATCTATCCATATGTATGTCATTATTCCCCGTCTCATAGTAAAACAATACTCTAGTATATCCACAGGCTACGAAACCTAGAAACCAGGGATTACAACAAATATTTCTGAAATTAGGGTCGTATCGGAATTACCCGAATGAATCAAAAATGTATTTGTAGCTTCGGGAAAGGTTCTACGCACACTTCGGCCTCGTTATATGTATGCGCGTGGACGTCGTCTTGTGGTATCTGAATTTATTTCAAATGGCAATAAAGTCATTATATTCTGAAGACTATGCTTGTCGTAAGAGGCGAATAACGGGACCGGGTGGTCAGGCTTGCTGACTTGGTTGATGCAAATCATCGTAACCCAATTGCGTGGATCGATGCTTATGATGTCAATCACTGGACTGTTTGGTCCAGAGTCGAATATTTACAGAACGCCGTCATATAGCTGGAATATTGCTGAGTGCGGCGTTAAACAACGAACATATTCTGGCAGTTTTGATTTATCTTAGTGATACTGTCGAATACACATTTCCAAGAGCTTTGCTATCTATTACACATGCATGGTTTCCCAAAGGGGTCACCTGACCAGTCCCTAATGCACTATGGTCGGAAATTACATTTGAACCAAGTTTGGACGTGCAAGAGGATATGGTCTCTTTCATCTTTCCGTTATTTCAGTGTAGCAAAATGTTTTTACGGTTTTATGTAGCGACGAAATGTCATTTTTGACATAAGAAAGGTATGAAATCGGCGACATGTAAATATATACGATTTGTTTGATTTACAACGACGTGCATGTGTCATTGAAGTTCAACAATGAATAGTTTAGAAATTAAAAAAAACATCCTGTTTTTCATTGCTATGCAGTAGGTGCTAAATTGGAAAAGGTCATCGTCTGCATTCTATTCAGAAAGTACCGGAAATTACACACATGGTTTTTCAATGTCATTATTTTGAAAAATAATGTAGATACGAAATATTATCCTACGACTAAACAATCAAAGGATCATGTAACTACTACTACTACTACTACTACTAGTACTACTACTACTACTACTACTACTACTACTACTACAACTACTACTAATAATAATATCCTCACAGACGAAGTTTTTGGAAGTTTGTTTAGTTACTATTAGTTACATGGTCCTGTGAAATAACATAAAAAGCAAAAGACCGCAGTGCCATGTGGACATGCTCCCTGTCCCCGACTTTACATGAAAACTGAAACTGTAACGTGAGTACGTGATATTCCAGCTTGGTTTTGAGAGCCTGTAAATAAAAGGGCAAATCAAACAAGTGGTTGACAGAATGAGCAATGATCCGGCAAGTCAGGACAGTCATACATCCCAATCACACTCATTTGTCGTCTCACTGGGGACCTACCCTTCCCCAGAGGTAAGGGTACAGGAGTGAGTGAGCTGGGTTTAACGGCGCTTTTAACAGTATTACAGTTACTTCGAGGGCGGGTATGGTGCTGAAAAACCTAGAAACATAATCGGGGCGAACCGGGATTCGAACCCACAATCATAGGTTTCTGGCGTGCCCAACGGACGCAACTCTGCACAGCGAATCGCGGCGCCTTAGACGACTGGGCCACCCGTGCCCCCCTAAGGGTACAGGAAGGCATCCAGTGCAAGGAAGCCACGGCCTCTTCTGACGGAGAATTGATGCAGTAAGTTACTTGGTAAAATCCAAGGAATTTATCCATGTTATATTGTGCAAAGAATCTTCTGTGGTTAAGTAATAGAGAAATCATATTTTAACTAAAGCTTCAGGCAGGGGTGTGTGCACGGAGGTTCTATACTTTGAGTTTTTGAAATCTTCATATAGTGCAGAGAGTTGAGTAGACGAAAATATTTCCCCAGTACTCGAGTTATCTTATTCAAAAATACATATCTACAAAATATAATTCAATTGGTGCCCACATGCTTAATTTCAGAGATCTGGGGCGATCTAAAATAAATTCTAGACTTGTGTTGGAATCCTGTCTTAATTTATTCCCCGGGGTCTGGGAGATAGACTAGGGTTGTAGCATCCTGTGTAGTCCAGACTGTTCAATAATGATAACAAACAACCGTGAACATTTCTATTCCTCTTATTCCCCAAACATATACAGCTGTCGTATGTACAAAAAATGTACATGTACACAAATATACACTGGCCGCGCCCAGTGGATCTGATCGATAATCAAGATGTATATGTATATTGTAATAAAACAGGTCTTACTTCACGAAGTGCATCAAATCATGTGAGCACCTTGATTATAAACATGAAAAGATTTGCAAAATATCTGTTTATACTATGTTGAGGGTACACATGATTTGCAAACCCTGACATGGACCGAAATCTGCACGGCAGTTGACAAACCCGATTTCGATTTCCTTATGCGATTTTGATTGGACCATGCAATAGACTCGTTAGACCAGCCAGAATATTACTCCAAAATTCCAGCCAAATGCGGCAAGGGTTGAAACTGGATTTTTATAGTCAGTTAACTCCCTTGCCTCGGGAAGATGGGAGTCGGCAGGTAGGTAATATGTTATGAAACTGACTGATGACCGTAACGTTTGCGGAGCTCTATGTACTATATTACTGGCAGTGTATCGAAGGTGTCACACACTGGGAAGGAGTTTGTGTCCACTTGGTTCAAGGGGGACTACTCTCATTTGCAAAATGAAGTTCAAGGTCATAGATACATGTGCGACTAATGTGAATATACTTCCACATGAAGTTTTATTATTGTTAATACTCTGAAACATTTTGATGCTACAACGATTAAAATACTGTGAAAAGCAGCAGTGTCTATCTGGAGCAGTTTAAATCTGTCTGGGAATAGTGTAAACGTTGTGTACAGTTCCAATGTGCAACGGACGCCTCTATTCCAATGATCAGCTGATGTATAAAAAAAGAGTCTGGTATGCACCGGATGTTATTACACAATCTGTGATACATCTGTATGTTTATTAAACAGTGATATCTTCAACCTGTGAGTAATAACGATATATACAAACATACACAGCTGTTGTATGTACATAGATATGCACATGCATACAGACATACATACATATATATATATATATAAACACATGGTTCAGCATGAACATTTCGTTGACACCCAAACATACATTCACATGAAACCAATGACAAGTATGCATCCATACAGTTTCATCACAAATGCGTTGTGTGAGAGGTATAAACGTGATTCAGGATGATTATGTTCAACATAAATTACATTCAGACCTAGCCACTAGGACCATTCAAATCTCAGCCATACACTGTATCCTTTGCACAGACTCACACTCCAGCACACACACTCAGACACACTAGGGCTGGCTAAAATCATTGATAATTTGATGGGAACACAGAGCTCCAGATAAGCTTTTGGTGTTGTGGGTATTTTACCCATGCATTTTAAAATCATTGGGTATCAGTAATTATATCTGGGTATTCAAATTTCTGTTACCCACTAGTTTTTACACATGTGGGTTTTTAAGTTAAATATTTAAAAACACTATTCATCTAGGCCCTGCAAACGGGTTTCGTGTGGGTTCGAGAGCTTTATAGGACTCAAAAATACCACGATACTTCCACAAGAAAGTGTGATGGCAAATGATCATGATGTAACTGTCATCGTGGAGTTTGGCAAGGTTGACCGAATGCCCGTTTATAATTTCAAAATAAGTTGCTGATTTGCTAATCAAATACGCAGGGTTACTTCACAATATTTTGATAATACACACAAGTTTTATTTTTGTAGCGTATCTGTAATGTTCGTTGCGTATTTGATACGCTTGGATTTTTACGCAGAAACGCAGCTTATCTGGAGCTCTGGGAAGAACTATTTACAATTTTCGATATGAAACTGTTGTAATCGATAATAACTAACATAAACTATTGTGATGAAATAAAGTTTAGATTTACTGAAACAGACTTGTTATTGTCAATAATGTTAATTGCTGAAGATGGAAAGCAACTGGTTTTTTTAAATCTCAAATGTTCACAAAACAATCTACATGTCTGTACAAATGTGTCACTGCTCACCAGTGGCGTGAAATATGTTGATTTCTTTCGGGACTTTCTCGCATATTTGCTTAAAGTTACTTCTCCAATATTGATTGATATTTAGTTAGCGATTATTGATCTTTGTAATCTATATCCATAACCAGCCTACACACACACACACACATTCTTAAAGTTCACATTGTCAAGATGAACACAGGTGTCCTAATTCTTCCATAAAAATGGTATATTCTAGAGAGACAAAAATATTTGTTTCTGATGTAAAATGTATAAATCCTCATAACAAGTATCAGTGAATAATACAGTTGGGAGATCTTAGATGACACAAACATGAGAACTAGAAAACAGTTTATCCATCATAAATAAAGTATCGACACCCTCCACAATGACAGCAGTGTGAGGGAGGGATCATTGTATTCAAGGGAGCTACCATTGTACACATGAATGACAAATCAATGGATTTTAAAGGTGTATGTGTGGCAGGTGTTCAAACTACATCATTTCTTCTTACATATTTTTTTGGGTGGCATGCATCTTCTCTGGATCCATCTGTCATACGTTCACAACTCTAAACATATACATTCCATACTTATGTCTTACATCATGTATATTGTAAAAAAATAATATATATTTTGTGAAAAAACAGACTTTTTTTAGTCAGTATCCCAATTAAACTATAGCAAGATGGTTGCAGAACAGACAATATTGCACTATGTGAAAAATACATATTCCAAAAGTACTGGTTCATAAATCTGGCTATCTTGATCTTGTTAAGAAAGGCTACAGGACTACAGGTCTAAACCCAGACAGTGGTTGTGTTGTGTTGTGTTGTGTTGTGTTGTGTTGTGTTGTGTTGTGTTGAATGACTTGAGTTGTGTGTACGTGAAGTGTCTCACACTGGCATGGGGAACTGTTCTGCATACTTCATCTTGCTGGACAGGTCATCGGTAGGGCAGCCATCCTTGCTGGAACAACAACACATCCAGTTACAGGCCGGTCAAATGATGGACTTCAATATGTGTGAATGTTCTGTAGTGTGAGTGAATGACATCCACAAGTGAATGTTCTTTACGCATGTTAAGGCCATCCTGTAAGTGTGATTGGTTGGTTGGTTGGTTGTTTAATGCCGCACTCAGCAATATTCAAGCTACATATAAATAATCGAGTCTGGACCAGACAATCCAGTGATTGATATCATGAGCATCGATCCACGCAATTGGGATTGATGACATGCATCAACCAAGTCAGCGAACCTGACCACATGATCCCGTTAGTCGCCTTTTACGACAAGCATGGGTTGCTGAAGACCTATTCTACCCCGGATCTTCACGGGTCTGTAAGTGTGATTGAGTCTGGCCAGTGAAACCAGTGACTGATAACATGAGCACTGACACATTATGAGCCAAAATACAGAGCCTCACCACCTGACCCAATAAGTCTTGTAGGCAGAGTCTACTGGACCGAACAAAATTGACTTGGGCTTCTGACTAGTGGTCAAAGTTGGAGGGTCACTTTGTTTTATTTATGGGTCAGTGACTTGGCCATCAAGCAGTCTCAAGCAATGCACTACTGCACATGGAGGCCCAATTAATACAGTATGGCTGAGCTAAGGCAGACTTGTTTGTTAACGCTCCGACCCAACTCACCCCTTCTGCACCCCATCTCCTCTCCCACTCACTCACCCTTCCCGCCCACTCACCCACAACTGTCCCGCTCCTTGTCTAGAGACATGTTCTTCAGTGTGATGGTTTCAGGTAAAATCTCCACATTCCTGACACTGCCGAAGAAGTCTGTGAGTGGCACCTTGTCTGGGTCTCGCTTGAACAGGTCCGTGCGGACACTCACTGTAGAGATACACTGACTCTTCGGACACACCCGCAGCTGCAAGTAAATAGCATGGAGTCCACTGTCTGTTTGTCTCTGTATTCCTGGTGCTACTTTAGTACTTACAATTGTTTGTTTCTTTGTTATTTAACACCACATTCAATATTCCAGCTGTATGAAGACCAATAATAACAAGAGTTTGCCACTAACGTGGCTAACGTTGCTATATATCCCCTGTTGCAGAATTTATGACATAATTAAATCTAAACAAACCCTAACCTTTTTTAACTGAGGTGGAACTTGTCATGGAAATTGTAAAAAAAAGAAGCATTTGGAACCTAAGTCCATCTTGCTGCCATCATGGCCATTGAAACGTAAAAAAATAAAAATTTCTAAAATTTCTAAATAGCAAAAGGCACCAGTTCAGCATGTACCTGACAGACCTGCAAAGTTTGATGAAAAAATATTGAACAGTTTATGAGTTATGCTCCAGAAACGAAACGTGAGAGACGGACGTAAGGACGGACGGAGCCCCTTTCTATATCCCCTGCCAACTTCTTTGGGCGGGGGATAATAATCAAACCTGGACCAGACGATCCCGTGAATGATATTGTGAGCAACGATCCACCCAGTCGGGGTACGATGACACACAATCAACCAAGTCACCAGGTCTGACCACCCCACCAACATAGGTTGCTGGGGACCTATTCTCACCCGGAATCACCACAGGGGCTACTTACAAACTGTCCTACTGTCTGTTTGCCGGACGGATTGACCTTCTCAAGGAACTCCAGAGCATAGTAGGTGTATCTGTCGATGACGTACACGCCAAGTGCGGGGTCCACATGATGCTGCAAACACAACAGACAGTGAAAGATGTGATACACAACACCAGTGTTGAGAGTTGCAATCAGAAGTCCCTTGTCATTACATTAATGTTCAGTTACAGCTGTAGCCTCCAGCAAGTGTCTACACCCCTGGCAGACAACATGGGCAATGGTTACATGGGTAATTTCGAACATCATAGCCGGTGAATAAACTGTGTTAGAAAATAAGCATGAAAGTCATAACCATAAGGTTAGAGGTGAAAGATTTAGGGGGTCCCTAGATTAAGAAACCACAGAAGACAACCTCCAGGACTGACAAGCATTTTAATGTGGTCTTACAAATTATTTGATAGGCATTTCTTAGAAGTCAATAAATCTTAACGTTGCTATCATGGTATATTTAAGAAGTTGTTTTCCATAAAATGTGTCTACTTTGCTCTTACAAAACAGGTACACGGGTAAGCTTTGGGGACAGAGTCTGCTGTGGAAAGAGGCCCACATGACTCTAATGACAGAAGTGTGACATACCGACAGTGAGTCCTCGCCGATCTTGCTACTGGCTACAGCCAGGATGTTGGGGGAGTAGAACTTCTGGAACATGGACTCCGCCTGACACGTATCAATCATGAAGAACAGTTCATGATATCTGAAACCACAACAAACTATATGTATGAAAAAGTACAGCTTTTATAACAACTGCTGGTTTCCTGAATTTAGCCATGTTTTGATGAAGATTCTTTATAGAGGGGTAAGAATCTACATTAAAAAGAATTATGACACTGATGGCAAATGCCAACCATCTTAAGCTTGTCGTATTTTTGTTCAAACTGTTGTCTGTCCTGAGTTACTTCAATCTGATAAAATCATAATGGTGATGTATGCATCTATTGTTTCTTGTTTGTTGGTGAGCAATATCCCAGAAATCTCAACAGACTGTGAATAATCCAGTATTGACCAGATTGATATTACGAACGATGAGGGTACGATGACACACAACCACTGATTCTGACCATGATATTATTTCGTTGCCTCTTACAGCCAGTAAAGGTTGCGTGGACCCTGTTCTGACCCAGACTCGCATGACATGCATATATCTGGACAGCACAACTGGACTGCTCCTTCGTCTGTAGTCCACACACCTGCGTTTGGTCCACATCTGCTGGAAGGCATCAGCCAGCTCCACATTCGACACCTCCTCCGCATCCTGGAACTTGAGGAAACCGTCTCCTCCATGTCCTGCAACACACGGAGGGGTGTAACCATTCATCAAACTGTCAGCCCCTCGTCATGCCAGGATTTGATAAGTGTGCTTGTGGGCACGTATCCTGGGTTTGGTCTGATCATGAGACTTAATCTGTTAGCACTATACTCAAGGCATTTTCAGAAAGTGGTAACTGTCTAGGACCTTCCTTGACAGTTTTTCCTGCATATAAACTGACGCTCCATGATATAACTTAAATACTGTAATCATGATCCAGCTGAATCAGGAACTTAACTGACGGTCTATCAATCCTGGCATGACTAAGGGAGGCAACTCTTGCAAAATCAGAAACATTCTCACTACTGACTGCAGAGACTTAAGTCAAACAAATAAGCTACAAGCAAAGACTTTTCACAGATTACCTGCCTCTCATAAATCAAGGCTGTATAATTTGAACATTCATTCAGTATATTCAGGATGGATGCATGGATCCTCACTAAATCCAAGTTTCCTGGAGGTTATTCTTCACATTTCTTCAAGAAATAAAATGATGATGAGAACTCTGTGACATCACAACTAATGAAGGGCATCAATATGAGTGAACTGTTCAATCAGCATTGTGATTTACGAAATTGTCCAAATATGTGCAAATATTTGACTGGTAATATTTCATAAAATCATGTATACCTGTCATATACACAAGGATATTGCTGCGTTCATCTGACAACAATCTTTTTGACCGTGGTGTACTCGGTGGAAGACGTCCTGTCAAAACTCTGATGAAGTTTTCCACCGTCACCTACAATATAGACAACACAATACAGACAACACAATAATATAGACAACAAATACAGACATTACCTACTATAGTCTGGAAGGTAATTTAAGGTACCAACGTTTACTACAATATCTGAAAAACTATCGGACCTACTCCAGTCAAAGTTGGTATGAGATTATTAAACAGTCATACATACTGGATATTACATTTAAAGACAATCGGTGCATGAACCAAAAATCTGTCTATTTAGCTATCACTATATTTCATCAACAACCAGACCTGTTTGTCACGGGTGGAACGAGCATTCATTGAAACAGCCATCTGCATAATGCTACCCCTGCTTCAAAGGGCCATATGACACGGTTGAACCAATCAACTTAACTTGAAAGGGTGCACAGGAATCATGCACGCACAAATACGGTGTTAGCGTTGGGCGTCTCAACGTGCGTGATTCCTGTGCACCCTTTCGAGCTGAGTTGATTGGTTCACTGTTTGTTACTATATACTATGGTATAATAGTGAGTTTGTTCAGTCACTCTTGAAAGCAGTTAAAGTTAAGTTATTTGTGCTGTATTCAAACTAAAATACTGTGTGCAATACTGTCTCTGTATCATGTGTATGGAAAACTTGTCTAGTTTCACGGTCGGAATAGCAACTGACAAATGTGGACATGACAATGACATATGAACAAAACCAACTGAGTCAACGTGACATGTGGACGTGACCAAATGAGTCAGAGTGACATGGATGTGACCAACCGTATGACCTGACCTCGTATCCGCGGTAATCCACCTCCACGTCGTCTCCGTACACGTTGATGTGCTGGTTGGCATTGTTGAAGACCGTCGCGGGACGGGGGTTCCTCGGGTTACATGCCATGTCATCTGCCACCATCAGGATAATACGACTGTCGCGACAAACAAATGATATAAGACTGTTAATTCTTAGCATTTAGGTTAGGACAAGGAAACTGGTCATGAAAAGGAAACAAAGTGTCAGACATATGGTAAGGGGTAGACACATAGCTACAGCGTTCACAGCTTGTAATCATGGTTAAAGTTAACAAGTGTGGAAGATAAAGTATCAGTTCTTCCCAATGTGTCACTATATACATTGACATAAAGGGGTCTGTATCAAACCCTGTGAAAAGAACTCCACCTGTCCGGAATCCCAAGTCGCTTGACACTCCTGTAGATGGAGAGGACGTTGGCAACATGGCGGTAGTTGAACCAGAACCGGGAAGTGTCCACCAGCACGGCCCAGTTGTTGGTGTGACCGCTCTTGAAAAACTCCTCCACCTTTTCCTACAATGGCCACAACAGGGAGAAATCAGTTCATGCTAGACTCAAGACTCCTGCAAGTTATTTACATTTTATGTGGCATCGAGTTGTCAGATTCAGTGACTTGGTTGATGCATTGTCATTGTATCCCATCACTGAATTGTCTGGTCCACTCTTGATCATGTTGATTATTTACAGACCACCTTCATATAGCTGGAATATTGCTGAGTGTTGTGTTAAACAAACAAACAAACAAACAATCAATAACTACACCATATTATCTGTACTGAACATGCTGAAGAGATTATTGTTGTGCAATCTCATTAAAATCAGATCTTAGTTCTCGCTACCGCTAAACAAAGATCTGAGGACATCTCATTACGGGTCACGTCAGACCGACCTTGCACGAACTTTGACCGACCAATGGAATGACCAATCAGGAGGAAGCTTTCTCGTGCTTTAACAGTGTTTAAGGCACTAATTTCAAATTGGCGACTACGCTTCGAAACATATTTTGACAAATTCTCGATTACAAAAGAACATTCTGGAATGGCTAATAGATGGTCTAGATTGTATGGATTCAGTCGTCAAACCCGTAACCATCGTTCGGAATACCCAGTGTTAAAGTTTTCGAGGTTGCATGATTAGAAATCACATTCCGACTGCCACTTTCATAATCTGGTAAGCGACGCTCTGATTGGTTGGATGAAAGGTTGTTCTGACGTGACCCCTAATAGGATGTCCTCAGATCTTTGTTCAGCGATAGCGAAAACTCAGGTCTGATTTTAATCAGATTGATTGTTGTGTCAAGTTATAAGAAAAAGTACCAAAGTAACTTTCTATTTACAGCTTTGTTTGTTTGTTGTTTCAAGTCATACTCAGCATAATTCCAGCTATATGGCCGCGGCCTGTAAATAATAGTCTGGACCAGACAATCCAGGGATTGATATCATGAGCATCGATCTACACAATTGGGATACGATGGCATGTTGACCCCCCAATCCTGTTAATCGCCTCTTAATTACAACAAGCATAGTCACCTTTTATGGCAAGCATGGGTTGCACAGCATTTTTACACTCTAAGACAGTTGATGAAACCTCCCAGAGGTTAAATAGTAGGACCTGTTTTAGAGATTTCCAAATTCTCTGCATGATGTAAAGTTATCTTTAAGTGACATTGCAACCATAAAGCATTCACTATTTCATTTTACTTTCATGTAGAGCTGGGACCCTACCGACTGTAGTCTCAAGAGTTGGGTACGAAATGTCAGATTGGGAATTGTTTTACTGGAGCCCAGTAACAAATGTTATATTTGGGATAACAGTTTAGCCCTGGCCAAAAGTATTCAGATATTATTGTGTACAAAACGATCTGGCCATGCCCACACTGACGTTGACTGCAGCATGTATTTCTTTTAAACATATAAATGCGTGAATAGTCAGAAAGAAATAGGAACATAAGCTAGTGACTTGTGTAACCATGGATTTATACAGAGTGAATGGTCGTCATTACAATGTGTCACGTGACTAACCACGGGTCCCGGTACTCCTGTGGGTAGGTGGGTCATACTCAGTACCCACCCGACCCGATTTACCCGTCCTACCTACTGTTCACGTAACTACTGGCACCAAGCCAAAATCCGACTGCATCACGAAATTAGGTAACAGTGGTGTTTTACGTCAATTGCGCAAGAGTGTTCCACAATCGAGCTATTTGGACCAGTTCCGTATATGGATGGTGACACAACAAACACACTTACATCTGTATTACATGCTGCATGCTGAATAAAACTGACAGAAACCGCGATCGAACACAGGATTACAGCCGAGAAACGCTTCCTGGGAGCCGCCATATTGAAAGTAGTCCGGTTGATGCGCTGACAAGTGCTCGACATTTCTGGTAACATTTCTGATACCGACAACGTTTTCTCAAATTATCATGATCCCAATAATTTGTTACATTTGTAGTTTTAAATGATAGTCTATTATTTTAACCATTCAATCTTCCAGTTCAATCCATAATTTGTAGAACTATTTTCTCAATGAAAGTGATATACCTTCCGCAATGAACGATGTTTGTTGTCCTTAGATACAACCTGGGACATCGTGGACCTGGAAGTCGTCTGACACGATTTCAATAAAATAGTCAAAATATCATCCCAAACTAAATACGTCCGCTGTCGCAGCGGCAAGATGACGACCGAAGATGCAAAGACTTATCTCTCCAAGCGGGAAATTCCACGTTTGTTCGAGGTAAGAAATATTGTGAGCGTTTGACATGTATCGACAGTGGGCAGTGTTGTCAATGCATGGTCATTAGTGATGGCAAAATATAATTTTCATTTTTGTAAAATGTCTAAAAACGATGTACTCAGCGCTTAATTATTACATTTGTATTTTCTTTTTAACAATATATCAAGTGACAATAAATTATGTAGAGAATCTAGTTAATTATTTATGCTGAGAAAATAACACCAGGGGAAATAAACAAGTGTCACATATTACCCTAGATATGTTTTGAGTTTTTATCTAAGGTCTATTTCCTGCATGTTTGATGTTACAGATGTTACTAAATCAATATTTTACTCAACAGGACCATAGCTTACTTTTACTAGGGTAGCAGTCATATTTGCTGACAGCTTACATCAATCTTAATTATGTTTAAATTAAGACTTGTACAAATGGATTATTAGGTTCTTGTCCATATGTTTCTAAAAAGTTACAAGGAAGGCATTATTTTATGACTTAAGAAAGAAGGAAATTAATGCCTGGTCACTGACACAGGTTTACCCCACTGAGCTGACACAAATCAGATATAAGTAATAGGTGAGATGTCTCCTCTATTGTAGTCTAGGTACGGCACTTCAGATGTCAGTAACAGCACACAATCCCCTGTTGCCCAAACACTCACACATACAGAAATACAGAACAAACTCCCCTTTGAAGTGAAAGAAAAAAGGCTTACATTCAGAAAGGCAGTTTTTATATCAAATAAAATTATGTTTGCAAATTGAAGTTATATCTTACGATTTTAATATTCATCCTATAAGGATAAGTTTTGGCAGAAGCCACAATAAAATGTCCAGTTGATTTGTCAGATTTGTCATACCTAGATAGAAAGGGACCAAAGACTTTTTAGAATAATGACATTTGTGACAGTAAATTTTTTATTGTGGTTATCTTAGAACTGAAATACATGATGCCTTTATTCAAGATAAACTTGAAACTGACAGTATAATTCTTTTATCCTTTTGACTTGAAATAGAACATTAGGCAAAGTCTTAATAAAAAATACCTATTATAACATTTATATTTTCCCATAGATTTGTTACTGCACTGTAAGAAAATAAGGAGTTGTCAATATTCATAGTATGTAATCAATGAATGCCTAAATGTTTTATTTGTAAAATTAGGATTTGGTGCTTATGACCATGATGACTATACTTCCCAACTTATTTTCAATTACTGTTACCATGGTTACTGTTAAGGATCATAAGATTATGCAAGTGAAGATTTTAAAAGGGTGCAACTGCATTCCAGCTGTTACTGTAAAAAAAGACTGCCTACTGTATAAAATGACTGCCTACAAAGTACAATATCAAACTTGTTGCCTACTGTAAAAAATGACTGTCTTTGTGACAACAGAGTCTGATGACTGGGCTGATGTTCCATCGGCCGTCAGACCACATCCAGTATCTGCTTGACTGTCTCGAGAAGGTCAAGAACAATGGCCAGGTCACATGGAACATGTTTGTGGAATACAAGCGCTCCAAAACACCACTTCCACCCATCACACCCGAGAACGGCAAACGTCCTGGATCTCGAGGGAGGAGGTCAACCACACCTAAAAGTAAGATATCCTGTTCCTGTCTGTGTCCAAAACATTAGATGCTACAAGTTACCTGCAGTCATTTTTAGTAGTTTTTATAGCGATAGAAATTGGCAGAAGTTCTAAAGTCCTTGTACTCTTTGCCTCCTAGCGGCTGCAGGCGAGGAGCGAAAGCGTTCTGGGACATGTAAACCAGTCTAGGACACAACACGTCTTCCTCTTGTGTGATTGTGCTCGAATAACATAAATATGTTTAGTGTAATAATTTACAGTTAGGGATGTTTTGAAATATAGTTTTATAATATTTGTATATTTTGTATGTACGCATATCATTATACATATGTGAGACATAGATCAGTGATAGATAAAGTTTCTTCTATAAGTTTGTTGACATCTTTCAAACTATTACTCATCTCCATGTGACTAAAAATGTTTTATCGCTGTTTTATATTTTAATTATGATAATTAATTACCGGTAATTAAAACTGTTAGTTATCAATTTTAGTCCAAATTTGTGAAATCATGACACTTGAAGGGAGATAACTCCCTCTGTATTGTCTTTGTGCCTCATACTGTAAACAGGTTCTCAGACAATCAGAGCTTAATAAGAATGGCAGAGCTCCTGATAAGCTGCGTATCTGCGTAAAATACATATCAGAAATGCAGAAATTTGCAGTAAAATAAAATCCAAGCGTATCAAATACGCAACGAACATTACAGATACGCTACAAAAATAAAACTTGTGCGTATCATCAAAATATTGTGAAGTAACCCTGCGTATTCAATTAGCAAATCAGCAACTTATTTTGAAATTATAAACAGGCTTTCCATCAACCTTGCCAAACTCCACAATGACAGTTACATCATGATCATTTGCCATCACACTTTCTTGTGGAAGTATCGTGGTATTTTTGAGTCCTATAAAGCTCTCGAACCCACACGAAACCCGTTTGCAGGGCCTAGATGAATAGTGTTTTTAAATATTTAACTTAAAAACCCACATGTGTAAAAATTAGTGGGTAACAGAAATTTGAATACTCAGATAGAATTACTGATACCCAATGAGTTTTAAATGCATGGGTAAAATACCCACAACACCAAAAGCTTATCTGGAGCTCTGGAATGGTGATGTCTTACCAGTGTTGGAAATTCAGCTTGAAAATCAAGGGGTCATAACCCTATTGTGGAATGAGATTGAGGTGGTCTGTAGGTTCGAACACTGGTTACTTTGCCCAGTGGTGTTTGCCTGTAAGGCAATGTGTATTATCATGTTGCATGTTCCATGTGTTTGGTGTCCACAATATATTTTACAATGCCCAGATAATTTCTGAAAACCTTGTTCATTCACTCAATCACTTCACTTTATCATTGCTTGTTTCCATACATTCTCTCACAGAAACCGGCAGTAGTCCTTAGACTAGTGACTTTAGTTAGCTTGTTTCTATATCTCTCACTCCTATCATGATTTGGGGGCATGGGGAGCCCAGTCGTCTAAGGCACTGCAATTTGCCATGCAGAGTTGTGTCCCTTGGGCAAGCCACAGACCTATGATTGTGGGTTCAAATCCTGATTCACCAGATTACGTTTCTAGGTTTGTCAGCACCATACCAGTACCCATGGGTTTTCCCAAAATGGTGAACGTCTGAGACTTGCATCACTTCAGGCTTTCCTCCCACATTAAGCTGACACGCCGTGATATAACTGGAATACTGTTCAGTGCGTCTTCAATCCCAACTCACACATCATGATTGCCTTTGTTGAGTCAACTTGCCATGCTGTCATCATTACCTGTGTTCTCTCCACTATCTAGATGGTCCTGAATGTTTCTGGCTGCTAGACACATATTACACAATACAAGGTATACCCAGCACCCCATGCACTGCACCATGTTCAGGGACCAGGCATGTGACAACATGTTCCGTTAGTTGGGAACGTCCAATGTACTCAGGATATCTGTTTTTCAATTGGTTATATGAAAAGAACCATGAAGTTTTAAGAAGCACTCAAGTCGTAGTATCCACGTGGTGACACGTGGTCCTGTGGACATGCACAGGTCTCAATAGACTCACATCAAGTCTCTGAAAAGAACATATATTAAACAAAAAAAATATTTAATAAAAATATAATAAAAAGGAGGCCAGAGACTCTCTTCATTTTTAGACTGGCGCTGCAGTAATCTAGACTTGCCAAACATTATAGACTTACATGGGCTGTATTGGATATATTTGTATCAGGGTCTGTATGACAGACTAAGGTCTCAAGTCAGGCGAAGTTAGGCAGCGTTTGTCGTGGAGAGTATGGGTGGGTGACAGTTAGGGCTGGGGTGAGTCCAAATTTACTACCTGGGTACCCACCCTACTATTACCCAGCCCTACCCGGGTACCCACTATAGGTCTCAAGAGTTGGGTACAAAATGTTTAATTGGGAATAGTTTGACTGTAGCACTGGCCAAATATATTTAGATACACATATAAAATGATCTGGTCATGTATACATTGAAGTTGACTGAAGTTTTATATTTATTCAAGCCTATGAAGGTCAGAAGATGGGTGTATAGTCAGAAAGAAATGTGAACATTAGTCACTTGTAGTAGAACCATATAGTTCTAGATACTTTTTGTCATTAAGCAACAGATCATGTGACTCATGGATCCGGGTAGTCCTGTGGGTACCCGGGTCCTTCTCAGTACCCATCCGACCCGAGTACCCGAGTTATCCATCCCAGCCCTAGTGACAGTGTTCAGCAACTTGACCCTGAGAGTTTCTTTTGACCAGGATAATAATTTTGTGCTTTGAGCATGCTTTAGGGTGGAGATTTGGCACATCATATACATACACATTATTACATGTTCCACGAGTTGAGGGAACCAACTTGACATTGTTGTCTTTAGACTTAGTCACAGTGTTAGAAATTGGCACTAGTCCTATAGTCCTTGCCAAACTGCCCAATAGTTAAGGTATCCTAAGAACTAGTAGAAATTTGCCCTTTTTAAGGGTTTTGCTATATGTTATCATTATTAGGACTAGTGAACCAAAACTGTTAGTTTCTACCGCTGCTGAGTCACATAGAGAAACAAGTAGAAATAAGAAGTTATTGTTAGTAATAATGAGATAATGTGAATACTGCTTATATCCTGGTATGGGTGTCTGTCAGTGTTGTGAGATGACAGTTGGCATCTGAAGTGTACTGGTAACAGGTTGGCAGCATTCTTAGTTCATTGTCACATTCACATGTCACACTCACATGTCACACTGTCACATTGTCACTTTGTTGTTCTTTACTCTGCACTCACAGTGTGGTCTTAATACAAGCAATACCATTTGATTTGTTTATTTAATTAATATTGTTCCTTTGTGAATCCATGTTGCAGAGTGTGCAAGGCACCCAGGGTAACATAACGCCTGGCCATGAACCACATGGTATTTCAATAACTCACTTCATGTTCAATGTATTAAACAAGGTGGGTTGGGGATTTGTACGGCAATTGTGATTCATGTGTAGATCTGTATGTGAACTTAACAGTGAAATAGCCATTTTGATGTCTTGTCACAGTTACATATCTCAACCAATATCGAAACAACTGAGATAGAGAAATTAGCGAGATATAGCCTCCACCAATCTATATAACTCTTCATAGTTTCTACCTTCGATAATGCACACAGAGACAAACCCACTTAGGATTCACCATTCTGATGATATCAATAAGTTTTTAGTAACCATGGTAATGCAGTTCATAATTGTGTGATATTAGCAAGCGCCAGTTTATAGACTGCACTTAACCATGTGAATTGTTGTTGGTCCTTGGTAGATGTATACAAGATTGATTTGTCCCAGGCTTTCCAGTGTCTTGATGAATCTGCTTAAACTTGAAAGATACTTTCAGATGGAATTATGATGTTAGGAAAGGGGAATATTTTCTAACTTTCGAGGTGGGGATGTTGATGGTGGGGTAGGGGTGGGGATGTTGATGGTAGGGTAGGGGTGGGGATGTTGATGGTAGGGTAGGGGTGGGGATGATTATGGTGGGGTAGGGTTGGGGATGTTGATGGTGGGGTAGGGGTGGGGATGTTGATGGTGGGGTAGGGGTGGGGATGTTGATGGTAGGGTAGGGTTGGGGATGTTGATGGTAGGGGTGGGGATGTTGTTGGTAGGGTAAGGGTTGGGATGTTGATGGTGAGGGTGGGGATGTTGATGGTGGGGTAGGGGTGAGGATGTTGATGGTGAGGATAGGGATGTTGATGAGGGTGCGGATGTTGATGGTGGGGTAGGGGATGTTGATGGTGGGGTAGGGGTGGGGATGTTGATGTTGGGGTAGGTTTGGGGACATTGATGGTGCAGGTGGGGATATTGATGGTGAGGGAAGTGATGTTGATGGATGGGTAGGGGTGGGGACATTGATGGAGCGGGTGGGGATATTGATTGTGAGGGAAGGGATGTTGATGGATGGGTAGGGATGGGGACATTGATGGAGTGGGTGGGGATATTGATGGTGAGGGAAGTGATGTTGACGGATGGGTAGGGGTGGGGACATTGATGGAGCGGGTGGAGATATTGATGGTGAGGGAAGTGATGTTGATGGATGGGTCGGGGTGGGGACATTGATGGTGGGGATGTTGATGATAGTGGTAGGGACATTGACTTTGAGGGTGGTGATGTTGATGGTGGGGGTGGGGATGTTGATGGATGGGTAGGGGTGGGGACATTGATAGTGGGGGTGGGGATGTTGATGATAGTGGTAGGGACATTGACTTTGAGGGTGGGGATGTTGATGTTTGGGGTAGGGGATATGGATGGTAGGGACAGGGACAATGATGGTGAGGGTAGAGGCATTGATGATGATGTTGATGATAAGGGTGGGGATGATGATAATAGAGCAGGGATGTTGCTGAAACAGAAAGTTTTACAATCTAAATCCTTCTTCAGAGGAGATGACACCCCTGGATGAGAAGCGGTCATCCCCGCTGCCCCCTATTGGTTCGGTCGCGGTGGAGAAAGTGAAAGCAGAGGGCATCCCTGATGTGCCCATTGTTCTTGTCATGGGTAGGTCATCACATGTACTCATATATTATGAGTCATAACTTAGCTGTCAAACAAAATTAAATTTGACTGAACTTGTGCTTGAGACAAGTGGCTTAAGTGTTGTTGACCATCTCCAGTCATCTTGATAGCACATGTAAGATTTTTAACTTTTCAACCTTGATAGTTCACTAACTTATTTCCACCTGTATGTGTTTGTGTTTCTGTCCAGATGAGGTATTTAAACTTCTATTTGCAGGAAAAGTTTGAATTGTTTTGAAAAGTATTGCAGGGCTTATTATTGTGATGTGTACCAATATGTAAAGCCACCATGTTGACTGATTCATTAAGGGTCATTTCTCGTATTCTGCACTCTTCCAGAAACATATTTGATCTTTTAGTTTATGTTAACTGATTTTCTAAGGATACATGGTAAGTGTTGCTATTTTTTGATTATTTGCGAAGTCTTGTTTGTATCATATTCTACGTTTGTAGAACATTATAAGGTGCAAATTTTATCAATTAACTGGTGCATCGATATATCATTGCCTGTCCTTCTACTGCATGGTGTAGGTGGCCCTGGCAGTGGGAGATGCACACAGGTGGACACCTTGCTGACACGGGTGGATGGCTGGGTCCACATTTCCATGGGCGACCTCATCAGACAGGAACTGAGCAACCGCAGTGCTGCTGAGGAGAAGTGGAAGATGGCTGCAGAGCTTGTGTCTGAGGGAGAGTTCATATCAGATGTAGGTCACAGAATATATGTTGCAGAACTTTCCTGGGAAAACTTAGGGAAAAACACATTGGATTACCACTCAGACTATGACATTTTGCATCACTATATTGACCATAGACATTGAATGAATGACCTACTGACCTACATTCTAGGGGCCTACATTGCCACATTGACAGACGTCTTTGCAATATAGTGCATACTTAGGATACATTGACCCTGTGACCTTCATTGAACAAGTGACCTACATTGCCACATTGACTTTGTGACATGCAACATTTACCTACATTGAACAAGTGGCCTACATTGAGCAAGTGACCTACATTGCCATATTGATTTTGGTGCATACATTACAACATTTACCTACATTGACCTTGTGACCTTCACTGAACAAGTGACCTACATTGCCACATTGACTTTGTGACATGCTACATTTACCTACATTGAACAAGTGACCTACATTGAACAAGTGACCTACATTGAGCAAGTGACCTACATTGAACAAGTGACCTACATTGCCACATTGACTTTGTGACATGCAACATTTACCTACATTGAAAGAGTGACCTACATTGAGCAAGTGACCTACATTGCCATAATGATTTTGGTGCATACATCACAACATTTACCTACATTGAACAAGTGGCCTACATTGAGCAAGTGACCTACATTGCCATATTGATTTTGGTGCATACATTACAACATTGACCTACATTGACCTTGTGACCTTCACTGAACAAGTGACCTACATTGCCACATTGACTTTGTGACATGCTACATTTACCTACATTGAACAAGTGACCTACATTGAGCAAGTGACCTGCATTTACCATGTTACCTGTATTGATACATGTATTGACAGTTAACTATATTTATCACGAACACGCTTACAACGAACTGGTGGATAACGAACTGGTTTTTTTTTTGTCCAAGCCATTTGCTGTATATATGGTGTACAGTATATATGTTTGTTACAAACTACGGTTACAATGAACTAAAATTAGTGGTCCCTTTCAGTTTGTTATAACCGTAATTTACTGTACATATATTTCACTCAGAGAACCTTTCTATCAAACTTCCCAACTTTATACTTTTCTTGTGATATAAACACATGAAAGGTTTAAGTTACAGTTCTTTTTCTTGTTTTGTGTTTCAAGTTGTCTCACTGTTGGTATTTTTGTGTTCCAGGATTTGTGTCATGAGCTGTTCCTGCAGTCTCTCCAGAAAAACACAAATGCCAAGGGATTCCTCATCAGTGGCTACCCTCGGAATGAGAAGCAAGTGGATGACTTTGAGAAATCTGTGAGTAGCTTACAGTTCCATATACAGATGCATAGTTGTCCCCCTTGATTGACAGCATCTGCTGGATATCATCATTCATTTAAAGGTTTTAGCAAAGACTTCAACCTGCATCAGTGTGGGCTTTCCTCCCGCATGAGGCTGTCACACTTTGAGAGACTGAAACACAAGCTAGGCAAATTCATTCACTTACTCAATCTTCACATGCACCATAAACAATTATAATACATGTAGTTGTGGTGGAACTATACATAGTCTCATAATATGTTTGCCACAGAGGCTTCTTGTCACTTATTAATTCACAGGGATCCAAAAAGGCAAGGGGCAGGGATTGTGTTTAATTCCCATTTTCAAGCTAATAATATTTCTTGGTTTATAAGCACCATGCTCATGGGGTTTCCAGAAGTGTTATATGTCCAAGACTTGCATCACGTCTGGACTTTATCAAACATGGAACTCTCTCAGCTTGATATATTGTATAACTGAAACACTGTTCAAGGTTGTGTTAAACCCAGCTTACTCACTCACTATAAGCTTTGACACAATAACATGTATACATAAGACTGAATCCTCATTTGTGTAGAGGGTAGCCAGGTGGTTCATCACTCCAAAGGACCCGTGAAGATCAGGGGTAGAATAAGTTTTCAGCAACCCATGCTTGCCGTAAGAGTCGACTGTGCTTGTCATAAGAGGCAACTAATGGGATCGGGTGGTCAGACTCGCTGACTTGGTTTGATGCATGTCATCGTCTCCCAATTGCGTGGATCAATGCTCATGATGTCAATCACTGGAATGTCTGGTCCAGACTCGATTATTTACAGATTGCTGTCATATAACTGGAATATAGCTGAGAGCAGCATTAAACAACAAACATAGAAACAAACATCACTCCAAAGACCCGGGTTAAGTTGCTCACATGGGTACAATGTGTGAAGCCAACGAGATGATAAGCTGATTGTGTTATGAAATTTGAGGTCGTCTAACTGTAGGTTTGATACCTCTTAATTTAATTGTAACTGTGTGCTTTAGTAAGCTGTTGTGACCAAGCGCTTGTGCTGTGTACAACAGTTATGTTCGGTAATTCTTGTTTATATGCATCGATACATAGACCAAAGATAGATTAATGTATTCACACGCAAATTTTTGTGTGAAAAGTGTTGGTACTTTTGAGGTATCGATTGGATTTAGATACCTGATTTTAATGGTAATCAGAATTAAGAATGCTTCAGTGTCATTGTAGAATTGTGTCTCCTGTTCTGATGTTGATGGAATAATGCTTAATGTGGTGTTAAACTCAACTCATTTGCACAAACATAAGCTTCTAACAAGTACAATATGACAAGAATGACTCCTATTCAATGGTTGTATGCAGGTGGGTCGTGTTGACCTAGTGATGCTGATTGACAGTGAGGAGACCTTCCTGTCGAAACGTCTCCTTCAGCATAGTGCCACCAACAACCGCAGCGACACCAACATCCACGCCGTACAGAAGCGGCTCCTGCTCTTCAAGGAACAAACACTGCCGGCCATCAAATACTACGATGACCAGGGGAAAGTCATCATTGTGAGTGGACTGTAAAGTTACAAAATAATAAACAGAGTATGTTTTCTGATGACAAAGCATATATAGAAAACTGATCAAGATAGAGAATTTGTATGTTTCATATGTTTAAAGATAAGATAAGTTAGAAGCACACATGACATATTGACTTAACTTACACACATGCAGCATTAAGAGACCACATAGACTAAGTTTACATACAGGCACTACAGTCTACATCATACAGACACCACTAACTTCATACAGGCACTACAGTTACCATACATACACTACAGTAACATGCATACATTACAGTAAACATGCATAAACTACAGTTAACATCATGCATACGCTACAGTTAACATACATATGCTACAGTAAACCACATGCATACACTACAATTAACATCATGCATACGCTACAGTTAACATCATACATATGCTACAGTGTTCATCATACAGACACTTCATTAAACATAATACAGACTACAGTTAACATACAGACACTACCATTAACATCACACAGACACTAAAATTAACATCACACAGACACTACAGTTAACATCATACAGACACTACAGTTAACATCACACAGACACTACAGTTAACATCATACAGACACTACAGTTAACATCAAACAAAGACTACAGTTTACATCATACAGATGCTTCATTAAACATCACTCAGACACTACAGTTAACATACAGACTACAGTTAACATGTGATGATACTGACATGAATGTGGTAAGTTTTACCTGGTGGTCCTGCCTGTTTCAGTTTGAGGGTGATCAGGAAGCCAGGACACTAGGAGAGCAGATGGTGGTCGTGTTTGACACCAAGATTCTGGGGAAGGAGGAGGTCTCTGGCTACAATACAGGTCGGTAGCACCATACATTCCCAGTTAACTGTCTTGATTGTCCTGGGGTTTTGGGTAGTGCTTCTAGGGCCAGTGGTAGGGGGTGTTAGTTTGGGGATGGGGGGTTGGTGTTGGTGATGGGTGGTGGGGGTGGTTGGTGTAAGTTTGGTGTTGGGGATGGGAGATAGGGGTGGTTGGTGTTGGTTTGGTGATGGGGATGGGTGGTTGTCGTTGGGGATGGGAGATGGGAGTGGTCAGTGTTAGTTTGGTGATGGGGATGGGTGGTTGGTGTTGGCGATAGGTGGTAGGTGTGGTTGGTGTTGGGGATGGGTGGTAGGTGTGGTTGGTGTTGGGGATGGGAGATAGGGGTGGTTGGTGTTGGTTTGGTGATGGGGATGGGTGGTTGTCGTTGGGGATGGGAGATGGGAGTGGTCAGTGTTAGTTTGGTGATGGGGATGGGTGGTTGGTGTTGGCGATAGGTGGTAGGTGTGGTTGGTGTTGGGGATGGGTGGTAGGTGTGGTTGGTGTTGGGGATGGGAGATAGGGGTGGTTGGTGTTGGTTTGGTGATGGGGATGGGTGGTTGTCGTTGGGGATGGGAGATGGGAGTGGTCAGTGTTAGTTTGGTGATGGGGATGGGTGGTTGGTGTTGGCGATAGGTGGTAGGTGTGGTTGGTGTTGGGGATGGGTGGTAGGTGTGGTTGGTGTTGGGGATGGGAGATAGGGGTGGTTGGTGTTGGTTTGGTGATGGGGATGGGTGGTTGTCGTTGGGGATGGGAGATGGGAGTGGTCAGTGTTAGTTTGGTGATGGGGATGGGTGGTTGGTGTTGGCGATAGGTGGTAGGTGTGGTTGGTGTTGGGGATGGGAGATAGGGGTGGTTGGTGTTGGTTTGGTGATGGGGATGGGTGGTTGGTGTTGGGGATGGGTGGTAGGTGTGGTTGGTGTTGGGGATGGGTGGTAGGTGTGGTTGGTGTTGGGGATGGGAGATAGGGGTGGTTGGTGTTGGTTTGGTGATGGGGATGGGTGGTTGGTGTTGGCGATAGGTGGTAGGTGTGGTTGGTGTTGGGGATGGGTGGTAGGTGTGGTTGGTGTTGGGGATGGGAGATAGGGGTGGTTGGTGTTGGTTTGGTGATGGGGATGGGTGGTGGATGATGGTTTGGTCTGGGGAATGGGAGGTAGGGGTGGTGGATGTTAGTTTGTTGTTTGGAATGGGCAGAGGGGGTGGTTGGTGTTAGTTTGGTGTCGGAGTTGGTGGTGTTGGATGTGTGTGTTAGAGAACGTTACATAGGGGTGTTTGGGGTGGGGCAAAGTTGTTTGGAATGAGGATGGTGGGGGTATATAGTTATACCAAGGAATTCTGTCCATCCGTCCATCCTTCAAAGAAATTCCATCTGTCCTTCTGAGGATGTTTTTTTGTGCAACCTATAACTTGAAAACTACTAAATGGATTCTTTTAAGATTTAGGGAATAGTTTCCATACTATTAGAAGAGGTACAGTGCAAGGTTTGATTTTCATATGTGTATTTCCCGAACAAATATGATTTTATTTTCTTGTTTTGAACTTAGAAATATGTTGGAGTGGATCGTGAGGTCGGGGGTATTAGTGAGCCCTGCTCACTTTATGCCTTGTTACTGATAGAATAAGTAACTGTCAAACATAAGGTTTGATTGCTTTTGTGTCTTTTGATATGTTCACTTTCGAATTTGAATGCAAATTAGTATATTAGTCTACATTTGTTTTAACACATCAAATGTTCCCTGAAGTAACATTACACAGCATCCTGTTGACTTGCTCTTCCCTATTGCATTTAATTATATTTTATTTCTTTTATAACAGGAATGGCATATTGTTTAAGACTGCTGTTGTCTGATTCAGTGTCAAAGCCTCAGTCCCGTAAGGCGTCCCGTGAAGGGTCCCGTAAGGCGTCCCGTGAAGGGTCCCGTGCGGCCTCCCGTGAAGGGTCCCGTGTGGCGTCCCGTGAAGGGTCCCGTGTGGCATCCCGTGAAGGGTCTCGTGTGGCGTCCCGTGAGGGGTCCCCACCTGCCAAGGTGATACCATCAGCTCCACCCTCCTCTAGCGGAGCTGTGGAGAAAGTCAAGGTGGCAGGGATCCCTGATGTACCCATTGTCCTTGTGATGGGTAGGTCACTGACTACAGATACTAGCTTCCTTAATACATATCATAATACCTAATGTGCCCATTGTATTTGTGATGGGTAGGTCACAGACTACAGATACTACCTTCCTTACTACATATCATAATACTTAATGTGCCCATTGTCCTTGTAATGGGTAGGTTACAGACTACAGATACTAGCTTCCTTACTACATATCATAATACTTAATGTGCCCATTGTCCTTGTAATGGGTAGGTTACAGACTACAGATACTAGCTTCCTTACTACATATAATAATACCCAATGTGCCCATTGTCCTTGTGATGGGTAGGTCACAGACTACAGATACTACCTTCCTTACTACATATCATAATACTTAATGTGCCAATTGTCCTTGTGATGGGTAGGTCACTGACTACAGATACTAGCTTCCTTAATACATATCATAATACCTAATGTGCCCATTGTATTTGTGATGGGTAGGTCACAGACTACAGATACTACCTTCCTTACTACATATCATAATACTTAATGTGCCCATTGTCCTTGTGATGGGTAGGTCACAGACTACAGATACTATCTTCCTTACTACATATCATAATACCTGATGTACCCATTGTCCTTGTGATGGGTAGGCTGTAAATTACAGGTACTAACAATTTCCTACAACTGAACCAAACAACTTTAATGTTAAGTTTATATGACACTTCTGACAGAACTAATGATACAGACAAAAAAAGTTCAACTGTAATAAAGCTTAAAAGAATGGTTATTCTATATTATGTATTTTCCACTCAATCCAGACCTGACTCTGACCTGATAATCAGATACCGTATTCAATGTAATAAGCGCCCCGCTCTAATAAGCGCCCATGGCGATATTAGCACCCCTTCCGATTGATCAATCTACACAAGACTTATTTATTGGTGTATAATACGCGCTTGTGTCTTATATGCACCCTTAATTATGGGCAATTGAATTCTAGAAAATTATATCTATTGTATGTTAACATTTCAGGCTGTCAGCATAAACCACGAAATTTACGATCTCTCAACTCTGTTTTTTTTTTCATCAAAATAATATTCTAAAAAGAGACCCCTATTTCTAATTTTGAGAGTGCCCTAGGCGCTTATTACGTCGAATACGGTAAGTTAATTTCAAATCCAATATGGACAAGTTTACATATTGCCCAGTAACCTATGCTTGTCGTAAGAGGTGGCCAGTAACAAACCACATCAAATTTTGTAAGGAAGAACTTAGCAGAGCAAAACAAAACAAGAAACCAGGGCAGCATAGTATATAATACTGTCTGTAACCATGGCAACATGGTGTACAATAATAGTTTAATCCATGGAAATATTGTGTATCATAATTATTACTGTTTGAATCCATGGAAATATTGTGTATCATAATTAATACTGTTTGAAACTATGGCAACATGTTGTATAATGTGGCTTGAAACTATGGCAACATGTTTTATAAGGCTGCTTGCAACCATGGCAACATGGTCTACAATGATATTTGTATCCATGGCAACATTGTGTATAATTATACTCGAAACTATGGCAACATGGTGTACAATGTTGGTTGTAACTATGGCAACATGTTTTATAATGCTGCTTGAAACCATGGAAATGTGGTATACAATGATGCTTGAAAGTATGGCAACATGGTGTACAATGATAATTGAATCCATGGCATTAGTGTGTTTCATAATACTGCTTGAAACCATGGCAACATGTTGTATACCATGGTAACAGGGTTTATAATACTCTTGAAGCTATGGAAATAGGGTTTATAATGCTGCTTGAAACTATGGCAATAGGGTTTATAATGTTGTTTGAAACCATTTTAACAAGGTTTATAATACTGCTTGAAACAATGGCAATAGGGTTTATAATACTGCTTGAAACTATGGTAATAAGGTTTATTAAGGTGTTTGAAACCATGTTAACAAGGTTTATAATGCTGCTTGAAACTATGGCAATAGGGTTTTATAATGCTGTTTGAAACTATGGCAATAGGGTTTATAATGCTGCTTGAAACTATGGCAATAGGGTTTATAATGTTGTTTGAAACCATTTTACAAGGTTTATAATGCTGCTTGAAACAATGGCAATAGGGTTTATAATACTGCTTGAAACTATGGCAATAGGGTTTATAAAGCTGTTTGAAACCATGTTAACAAGGTTTATAATGCTGCTTGAAACTATGGCCACATGGTGTAGAAGGCCCCTTGAAACCCTGGCAAAATGGTGTATAATGCTATTTGAGACCATGGTAATTAGGTATACAATGCTGCTTGTTGCTGCAGGCGGTCCTGGGTGTGGCAAACTGACCCAAATTCAGAAGCTGCTTACACACGAGGATGGCTGGGTCCACGTATCCATGGGTGACCTCATCAGAAAGGAAGTGTCTGAAAGAGGCTCTGGGGAGGAGAAGTGGAAGATGGTCGGTGACCTCATGTCTCGGGGCGAGATGGTCTCAGAGGTGACTTCTATATTCATCAAACTATAATAAATCATAAATGATTGAATGTTTATGTGGCTTTTTTATTACTTACTGTTAGTCTGCATCTGCAGCATCAACTGTTTCCATTAGGTCAGGTGTACTCTGGCTTTAGACTTTATGGTTGACAGATTTCTTTTTTTATACCACAGGGAAAGTGGCTGAAATAAAAATTGATGTATTATGTAGTAATATTGCTGCGATAAATCCCTTTTCACAGGAAGATACCTGTGACCTGTTTGTCCAAACCCTGCAGAAGAACACAGCAGCCAAGGGCTACATCATCGAGGGCTATCCCCGGGACATGAAACAGGTTGAAGATTACAGGAACACTGTAAGTTGACCTTGACCCCCATCAGAACACTGTCAGCTGTCCTTGTACCCCTCTGAACACTGTAGATTGACCTTGACCTCCACGGAACACTGTAGGTTGACCTTGACCCCACCAGAAAACAGTAAGTTGACTTTGACCCCACCAGAAAACAGTAAGTTGACCTTGACCACACAGAACACGGCAAGTTGACCTTGTCCTCCACAGAACACTGTAGGTTGACCTCAACCCCACCAGAAAACAGTAAGCTGACCTTGACCACACAGAACATGGTAAGTTGACCTTGTCCTCCACAGAACACTGTAGGTTGACCTCAACCCAACCAGAAAACAGTAAGCTGACCTTGTCCTCAAAGAACACTGTAAGCTGACCTGGTCCACTATAGAAAACTGTAAACTACCCTTAACATTCATCAGAACACTGTAAGTTGACCTTGACATCAACCAGAACATTGACCTTTGATGTTTGTCATGTGTGTATGTATCGTGTTCTATATTTTAATGGCAAGTGGATTACTTTGACCTTTGGATGCTTTGGTGACATGTGGGTTGCATTGACTTTGTGATGTTTTAATGACAGGTTGGTCGTGTTGACCTTGTGATGGTCATTGACTGCCAGGAAACCTTCCTGTCCAAACGCTTGTTGAAGCGTGGCGCCACCAACAATCGCCTCGACGACAACATTCAGGCAGTACAGAAGCGGCTCCTGCACTTCAAGGAAAACACGCTGCCCGCCATCAAACACTTTGATGACCAGGGGAAAGTCAGGATCGTGAGTACACCACATCATCTTACAGGAAGACATATCTTGACCTCTTACATACTGTTACTGTAATAAAGATTGGATATAGTCCTGAACACAGACGTCTAATCAAGTGGCATAGAGTCCAAGTAAATCTATGCTGATGTCAGGATTGTGAAGTGGGAGATGTGTCACCACGGGCTGAATATTTCTCAAGACAGTAACCAAGTACCGTATTCGACGTAATAAGCGCCCAGGGCGCTCTCAAAATTAGAATTAGGGGGCTTTTATCAGAATATTATTTAGGTGAAAAAAACAGAGTTAAAAGATAAATTTGGTGGTTTATGCTGACAGCCTGAAATGTTTATATACGACAGATATATTTTTCCAGAATTTATTTGCCCATAATTAAGGGTGCATATGACACACGAGTGCGTATTATACGCGAATAAATAAATCTTGTGTACACTGATCAATCGGAAGGGGTGCTAATTGGGTTTGGTCACTAGCCAATATATTAGCAAATATCTCCGTGGGCGCTTATTAGAGCGGGGCGCTTATTACGTCGAATACGGTATTGCTAACTTGAAGTAGAGTTTGATCATTTTTGGATTTTGTAAATGTGTCTTGTATTTACACTGACCTTTGCATGTTTCAGTTTGAAGGAGATCAGGATGCTGAATCTCTAGGGCAGGAGATGGGGGCAGTGTTTAACAGCATCATCCTGGGGAAGGAGGGTATCCGAGGTAGGTGATCCTGGTTCTCTCAGTTGGGCAGGAGATGGGGGCAGTGTTTAACAGCATCATCCTGGGGAAGGAGGGTATCCGAGGTAGGTGATCCTGGTTCTCTCAGTTGGGCAGGAGATGGGGGCAGTGTTTAACAGCATCATCCTGGGGAAGGAGGGTATCCGAGGTAGGTGATCCTGGTTCTCTCAGTTGGGCAGGAGATGGGGGCAGAGTTTGCAGGCATCATCCAGGGGAAGTAGGGTATCCGAGGTAGGTGATCCTGGTTCTCTCAGTTGGGCAGGAGATGGGGGCAGAGTTTGCAGGCATCATCCAGGGGAAGTAGGGTATCCGAGGTAGGTGATCCTGGTTCTCTCAGTTGTGCAGGAGATGGGGGCAGTGTTTAACAGCATCGTCCTGGGGAAGGAGGGTATCCGAGGGAGGTGATCCTGGTTCTCTCAGTTGGGCAGGAGATGGGGGCAGAGTTTGCAGGCATCATCCAGGGGAAGTAGGGTATCCGAGGGAGGTGATCCTGGTTTTCTCAGTTGGGCAGGAGATGGGGGCAGAGTTTGCAGGCATCATCCACAAAAAGAAGGTTCACCCCGTGTTACCCAAGTGTAAGCCCAGTTGGGCAGGAGATGGGGGCAATGTTTAACAGCATCATCCTGGGGAAGGAGGGTATCCAAGGTAGGTGATCCTGGTTCTCTCAGTTGGGCAGGAGATGAGGGCAGAGTTTGCAGGCATCATCCAGGGGAAGTAGGGTATCCGAGGTAGGTGATCCTGGTTCTCTCAGTTGTGCAGGAGATGGGGGCAGAGTTTGCAGGCATCATCCAGGGGAAGTAGGGTATCCGAGGTAGGTGATCCTGGTTCTCTCAGTTGGGCAGGAGATGGGGGCAGAGTTTGCAGGCATCATCCAGGGGAAGTAGGGTATCCGAGGGAGGTGATCCTGGTTTTCTCAGTTGGGCAGGAGATGGGGGCAGAGTTTGCAGGCATCATCCACAAAAAGAAGGTTCACCCCGTGTTACCCAAGTGTAAGCCCAGTTGGGCAGGAGATGGGGGCAATGTTTAACAGCATCATCCTGGGGAAGGAGGGTATCCAAGGTAGGTGATCCTGGTTCTCTCAGTTGGGCAGGAGATGAGGGCAGAGTTTGCAGGCATCATCCAGGGGAAGTAGGGTATCCGAGGTAGGTGATCCTGGTTCTCTCAGTTGTGCAGGAGATGGGGGCAGAGTTTGCAGGCATCATCCAGGGGAAGTAGGGTATCCGAGGTAGGTGATCCTGGTTCTCTCAGTTGGGCAGGAGATGGGGCAGTGTGTGACAGCATCATCCTAGGGAAGGAGGGTATCCGAGGGAGGTGATCCTGGTTCTCTCAGTTGGGCAGGAGATTGGGGCAGTGTCTGCAGGCATCATCCTGGGGAAGGAGGGTATCCGAGGTAGGTGATCCTGGTTCTCTCAGTTGGGCAGGAGATGGGGGCAGTGTTTGACAGCATCATCCTGGGGAAGGAGGGTATCCGAGGTAGGTGATCCTGGTTCTCTCAGTTGGGCAGGAGATGGGGGCAGAGTTTGCAGGCATCATCCTGGGGAAGGAGGGTATCCGAGGTAGGTGATCCTGGTTCTCTCAGTTGGGCAGGAGATGGGGGCAGTGTTTGCAGGCATCATCCACAAAAAGAAGGTTCACCCCGTGTTCCCCAAGTGTAAGCCCTGTGGTTACCCAGTGTTTAGTGGGGTACAGGTGATCCAGTCGTATCAGGCAATACGTTTTGTAGTTTTGCATCCCTTTCGTACATTAGAAACCTGTTATTTTAGATTCAAATCCCAATTTGCCCTGATCATGTTTCTAGGTTGTTAGCATCATACCCATGCTTATGGGTTTCACCAAAGTGGTAAATGTTGGAGACTTGCATCAATTTGGGCTTTCCTCTCAATTTTATAAGCTGACACACCGTGATATAGCTGGAATAGTGTTAGAAGCAGTGTTAAACCCAACTCACTCACGCCACTGCTTGCACTGTGTTCCCAGTGTTCTACTTGTCTTCCCCCTGTGTACCCCTTGTTTTCCCCCAGTGTTCCCCTGTCTCTCCAGTGTTCCCCCAGTGTTCTACAATCTCCTCCCTCCCTCTCTGTCCACAGTGCCAACCCCTCCCTCTCAACCTAAACCAGATCGTAAGAGAAGTGCGAAGGTACGAACACCTAACACTGAGGCATCAGCCACCAATGATGTCCCTGACTTCCCTGCAATCCCGGTCAACTTGCCGCCCGCAGAGATCAAGGTCCCAGATGAAGGTCGCAAGTCAGGATTTCCTGAGTGCCCAATCATATTTGTAACAGGTAGGCCTTGTGTGTTGATAATCGAGTCAGAAAAATGTAAAAAATAGATTCCTTTACCAACGCTCTCAAATATTCTTCCATCAAGCATCGTAACTAATTAACTGCACTTTAACTTGGGTCATCATGACCTTTCACAGCATGCTACAGTTACAGCTGACATGAGCATCTTGAAAAGATGAGGTTATTTCAGAATGTGTGTTGTAACAGGCATTGTGTTTCATCATCATTCAATACACAGCTGTTTACCATGTGCTTTCTCTATTGTTTTATAACTTGTGTTGGTGTTTAGTGAACACATTCGGTTTGTGGATGCCCCCATCATCTAGGGGTCTCCCTGTGCAGAGTTATGTCCCTGTGGCATGCCAGGATCTGATGAAAGTGTGTTTGAATCCCAATGTTGCTCTGATTATGACTCGAGTTTCTTAGAACTGTGTTTATGAGTTTATCCAAATCAGTAAACGTAAAGACATGTATACCTGTAGGCTTACCTCCTACATGAGCTGCTGATAGCTGAAATACTGTAAGGACATTTCACCCAACTAACTCACTAATGAAGTAAACTGGACTTGACTGTGATTCCCCTAGGCGGACCCGGCAGTGGTAAAGGCAGCCAGTGTAAGAGAATTGTGGAGCGTTACGACAACGTCGTCCACCTCTCCATGGGGGACATCCTCCGCACTGAGATCTCCACCAAGGGCACAGCCGACGACAAGTGGGATATGATCAGCACCCTGCTGCAGAAGGGAGACATGGCTCCAGAGGTAGGCAGATATCTAGAGGGAAGACATGGGTAGGCAGATGTCCAGGGAGACATGGCTCCAGAGGTAGGCAGATATCTAGAGGGAAGACATGGATAGGCAGATATCCAGGGAGACATGGCTCCAGAGATAGGCAGATATCTAGAGGGAAGACATGGGTAGGCAGATATCCAGGGAGACATGGCTCCAGAGATAGGCAGATATCTAGAGGGAAGACATGGGTAGGCAGATATCCAGGGAGACATGGCTCCAGAGATAGGCAGATATCTAGAGGGAAGACATGGGTAGCCAAATATCCAGGGAGAATGGCTCCAGAGGTAGGCAGATATCTAGAAGGGAAGACATGGGTAGGCAGATATCCAGGGAGAAGCATGGCTCCAGAGATAGGCAGATATCTTGGGGGTGGGGGAGGAGGGATGGCTCCAGAGGGAGGAGGGATGGCTCCAGAGGGAGGCAGATGTTCAGGGGAGACATTGCTCCAGAGGTAGGCAGATGTCCACAGGAAGCATGGCTCTAGAGGTAGGCAGATATCTTTGGGGGACATGGCTCAAGAGGGAGCCCTCACCACTTTATAGAATCATGAAATCAGCCTTATTTCAATTATATTCCAGTAATATTTTAACTATATTCCAGCTATATTCCAGCAATATTTCAACTATATTATGTCTGTATTCAAGCAATATTTCGACTATATTATGTCTGTATTCAAGCAATATTTCAACTATATTATGTCTGTATTCCAGCAATATTTCAACTGTTTTCCAGCTGTATTCCAGCTTTATTCCAGATGTATTCCAGTTATATCATGTCATCCTGAAGATGATCAAGTCTGGTCCAGGGAAACTAGTGGTAGATAGCAAGACCAGTGTCCTTGATTGTTGGGGTTAGAAATATACACCATCAGCAAGCAAGCCTGCCTGACTCCTGACCTAGTCTGAGATGCATGCACTACTAAATGTAATCGTTCAAAGTCACCTGATGGCCAGTGCTTACCTGCATTGTGACCACACATGCAGCTAATTAATAATCCGGATGAATATTGCTGGAATATAGTTGAAATATTGCTGGAATATAGTTGAAATATTGCTGGAATATAGTTAAAATAATGCTGGAATATCGAGAAACAGCCAATTTGAGGTTGTTTGTATTTGCTATGCAATGTTTGTATTTACAGTATTTGTAGTATGCAGTATTCACTATGAACCATGTCATCTGTACAGGATGTGACGATCGAGCTGCTGACGTCAAACATACAAAAACATCCTGACGCCCGGGCTTTCATCATCGAGGGCTATCCCCGGGATGAGCGGCAGTTGGAGGAGTTCAACAAACATGTAGGTTACCATGCCGATCAGAACATGTAGGTTACCATGCCGATCTGAACATGTAGGTTTCCATGCCGATCAGAACATGTAGGCTACCATGCCGATCGGTACAGGTAGGTTACCATGCCGATCAGACGATGTAGGCTACCATGCCGATCAGAATAGGTAGGTTACCATGCCGATCTGAACATGTAGGTTACCATACTCAGAGCTCCAGATAAGCTGCGTATCTGCGTAAAATACACATCAGAAATGCAGAAATAGGCAGTAAAATAAAAAAGTATCCAACAAACATTACAGTTACGCTACAAAAATAAAACAGTTACATCATGATCAATTGCCATCACACTTTCTTGTGGAAGTATCATGGTATTTTTGAGTCCTATAAAGCTCTCGAACCCACACGACACCAGTTTGCAGGGACTAGATGAATAGTGTTTTTAAATATTGAACTTAAATACCCACATGTGTAAAAACTAGTGGGTAACAGAAATTTTAATACCCAGATAGAATTACTGATACCCAATGATTCTAAAATGCATGGGTAAAATACCCACAACACCAAAAGCTTATCTGGAGCTCTGATACTATATACCGATCTGAATATGTAGATTACCCTGCCGATCTGAACATGCACAACCACCAGTCGGTAAAGGGGACATAAGTCCTGCTGGGGTATCGTGCAGGAAGCTGAGGCACCATAAGTCCCCATGATGCCCAGTGAGGTGGCCCCGCTATGGTTACTGGTGGCTGATAGTGTTTTAAACAGTTGTAAATAATATTGTTATGATGAAATATGTTTGAAAAATGTGGTTTGTAATATAAGTTTGTATTCATGACTCAATTATATATATATCAACTTGTTCTCGTTGCTGTATGACTAAAATAATACTGATGCAACATTAAATTTTAACTCACTCACCTGTTTAATAACCCTTAATATCCCTCTCACTGGCCAATCCCTTCACACCTCTCATTTATTAACCCTTTATATCCCTCCCATTGAGTAACTATGTCACAGACCGCCTCTGTGGTCTAGTGGTAAAGCGTCCGCCTGACGAGCAGAAGATCCGGGTTAAACCCCATGGCTATGTCATACCAAAATGGTACTTGTTGTTACCCTGTCTGGCGCTCAGCATTAAGGGGCTAAAACAATGACTGGTCTGCTCGGAGTCAATATACTGTGTCTGAGTGGGGTATTCATGTTAAACTGCTGCATGGTATCTCAGTAGGCTAGCACTATAAAATCGGCATCAAGTCCGGACTAGTACAAGCAGCCACACACACACACACACACACACATGCATACACGTCGCTATATAAGTGCAATAATCTTGGATGTGACGTTAAACCCAATGTCACCTCACCGGAACTATGTCACAACTATGTCATTAACCCCTCATATCCCTCCCATTGGCCAGCCCATCATACCCCTTCAAATGATGTACTCCTTAAACGCTTCCCTTGATTATGACCAAAGATAACCTTGATTATGACCAAAGATAACCTTGATTATGACCAAAGATTACCTTGACTATGACCAAAGATGACCTTGATTATGACCAAAGATTACCTTGATTATGACCAAGGATTACCTTGATTATGACCAAAGATAACCTTGATTATGACCAAGGATTTCCTTGATTATGACCAAAGATGACCTTGATTATGACCAAAGATAACCTTGATAATGACCAAAGATGACCTTGCTTCATGCCCTGACAGGTCGGTGGGCTGAGTTTTGTGGTGCTGCTGGACTGTGAGGAGTACTACCTGCAGGAGAGGCTCATCAACCGTGGCGCTGACAGCGGCAGACCCGATGACAACCTCGGAGCCATCGGGAAGCGGATCAGCTTCTTCAAGGACAACACTCTACCTGTGCTGAAATACTTTGACGACCAAGGCAAATTGGTGGTGGTAAGATCATCAGTCCATCTTGTCAGAAAAACACCCCCAAACAAATGTCCAGTAAAGCAAACAAAATGATGATTGGATGAGTCACCCTCTCATAAACCCAGTATCATGGGAGGGCAATCAATGATAAGGGACCGGTCATCATATTACAGCGGGGGTTACTGGATCAGAGGTTTTTGATGCATTAATGGGCTGAAAAGAATTGCCCTTTGGATGACTTGGGTTCCCCATGTACATTCTATCATTATCCTCCCCAAATATGTCTGTCATTTTTCTTAACCACCCCTAGACTATTCCTTCTGAGACTATTGTTAATTATTTCAGGTGATGGGAGACCGAGATGAAGACGATGTTTTCTTTGAGCTTGCCAACACTCTTGACTTCGCTCTGTTTGGGCGTAAACCATCGGCACTTGAGGCAAGTCATGCTTAATCTTTACATTTACTTCAAATTTATATGAAAAGATTTTAGCAAAATGTAACAAAATAATTTTGCCTGATATTGAAACATCCGATATTCCCTGGCATGGCTGTGTGATAGGATTTTAGCACTTCTCAGGAGCTTTTTGGTTCAAGCAGTGAGTCGTCACATTGAAGACCCGGGTTGGATCGCCAGATGGATACTAGGCCATGTAACCCACCCATGTGACCCACAGTAGACCTTGTGATTCATGGTAGCCTGTGTGATTCATAGTAGTCCATGTCACCCAAAGTACCCCATGTGACCCTTAGTACACCATGTGACCCATAGTAGCCTGTGTGATTCATAGCCCATGTGACCCATAGTAGCCTGTGCTATTCATAGTAGCTTATGTGACCCATAGAAGCCTGTGTAATTCATAGTAGCCCATGTGACCCATAGAAGCCTGTGTGATTCATATGATTCATAGTAGCCCATGTGACCAATAGTTGGACATGTGATTCATAGTAGGCAAATAGTTGGACATGTGATTCATAGTAGGGTTACAATAGGTCTTCAGCAACCCATGCTTGCCGTAAAAGATGACTATGCTTGTCAAAAGAGGCTACTAACGGATCGGGTGGTCAGGCTCACTGACTTGGTTGATGCATGTCATCATATTCCAATTGCATTGATGGATGCTCATGATGTCAATCGCCGGATTGTTGGGCCATCGGGTAGTGGTTAAAGCATTCGCTCGTCACGCCGAAGACCCGACATGGATACAATGTTTGAAGCCCATTTCTGGTGTCCCCCGCCGTAATATTGCTGGAATATTGCTAAAAGCGGTGTAAAACCATACTCACTCACTCACTCACTGTCATGGACCGCCGTCATATAGCTGAGTTAAACATGTTAAACATCACACAAACAAACATAGTTAGCCATGTATGTGACCCATAGTTGGCCATGTGACTGACCTCATAGTAGGACATGTGATTAATATTGTAGGCCATGTTACCCATTGTAGGCCATTTGATTCATAGTAGTCCATATGATCAACAATGGCCATGTAGGCCATGTGACCCATAGTAGACCATGTGACTGACCCATGGTAGCCCATGTGACCCATAGTAGACCATATGACTGACCCATGGTAGCCCATGTGACCCATAGTAGACCATATGACTGACCCATGGTAGCCCATGTGACCCAAAGTAGGCCATATGACTGACCCATGGTAGCCCATGTGACCCATAGTAGACCATATGACTGACCTATGGTAGCCCATGTGACCCATAGTAGGCCATATGACTGACCCATGGTAGCCCATGTGACCCATAGTAGGCCATATGACTGACCCATGGTAGCCCATGTGACCCATAGTAGGCCATATGACTGACCCATGGTAGCCCATGTGACCCATAGTAGGCCATGTGACTGACCCATGGTAGCCCATGTGACCCATAGTAGGCCATGTGACTGACCCATGGTAGCCCATGTGACCCATAGTAGGCCATGTGACTGACCCATGGTAGCCCATGTGACCCATAGTAGGCCATGTGACTGACCCATGGTAGCCCATGTGACCCATAGTAGGCCATGTGACTGACCCATGGTAGCCCATGTGACCCATAGTAGACCATGTGACTGACCCATGGTAGCCCATGTGACCCATAGTAGACCATATGACTGACCCATGGTAGCCCATGTGACCCATAGTAGGCCATATGACTGACCCATGGTAGCCCATGTGACCCATAGTAGGCCATGTGACTGACCCATGGTAGCCCATGTGACCCATAGTAGGCCATGTGACTGACCCATGGTAGCCCATGTGACCCATAGTAGGCCATGTGACTGACCCATGGTAGCCCATGTGACCCATAGTAGACCATATGACTGACCCATGGTAGCCCATGTGACCCATAGTAGACCATGTGACTGACCCATGGTAGCCCATGTGACCCATAGTAGGCCATGTGACTGACCCATGGTAGCCCATGTGACCCATAGTAGGCCATATGACTGACCCATGGTAGCCCATGTGACCCATAGTAGACCATATGACTGACCCAAGGTAGCCCATGTGACCCATAGTAGGCCATGTGACTGACCCATGGTAGCCCATGTGACCCATAGTAGGCCATGTGACTGACCCATGGTAGCCCATGTGACCCATAGTAGGCCATGTGACTGACCCATGGTAGCCCATGTGACCCATAGTAGACCATATGACTGACCCATGGTAGCCCATGTGACCCATAGTAGACCATGTGACTGACCCATGGTAGCCCATGTGACCCATAGTAGGCCATGTGACTGACCCATGGTAGCCCATGTGACCCATAGTAGGCCATATGACTGACCCATGGTAGCCCATGTGACCCATAGTAGACCATATGACTGACCCATGGTAGCCCATGTGACCCATAGTAGGCCATGTGACTGACCCATGGTAGCCCATGTGACCCATAGTAGGCCATGTGACTGACCCATGGTAGCCCATGTGACCCATAGTAGGCCATGTGACTGACCCATGGTAGCCCATGTGATCCATAGTAGACCATATGACTGACCCATGGTAGCCCATGTGACCCATAGTAGGCCATGTGACTGACCCATGGTAGCCCATGTGACCCATAGTAGGCCATGTGACCCATAGTAGACCATATGACTGACCCATGGTAGTCCATGTGACCCATAGTAGACCATGTGACTGACCCATGGTAGCCCATGTGACCCATAGTAGGCCATGTGATTCATATATTTAGTAGCCCATGTGACCCATAGCTGGCCATGTGATTCATATAGTAGCCCAAGTGATTCATATAGTAGCGCAAGTGATTCATAGTAGCCCAAGTGTAACCATGGTATCTCAACATCAACTGTAGCTGGCAAACTGCAGATGTGGAAAATATTCTGTTTATTTTTTGTTTTTACTTATAGATAGAGACAGTTATTTTCAGAATCAGATAATCCATTATTTCCATAAATATACATAAACTGAAGCCTCTTGGCCTTCTTCAGACACGCTCTATTGGTTTAGGACTACATTACCAGGGATGCTTGCTCAACCATTGCTGTGTGTATGATGAGGGCCAGGAGGCTGAAAGCTTGAGATTATGTATATTTGTTTACTTATTTGAATTCCCCAGTGGGAACATCTTCCCAAGGCAAGGGGGCTAACTGGCTATAAAAGTCAAGTTTCCACCCTTGCCGAACTAGGCTAGAATTTTGGCTGGACTAACGAGTCTATGCATAGTCAAATCAAAATCTTGTAACGAGCTAGACATCCAGTTCGTGAACAACATGGATTTCAAGGTGCAGATTTTGGTCAACTGCAGGATTTCTAAAGCATGGGTACCGTCAACTGGGTGTTGACAGATATTTTCCTAATCTTTTAATGTTTTTAATTAAGGTGTTCAAATTATTTGAAGCACCTTGCGAGGTAAGACCCATTTTATTACAATATAGAGCTTGATTATCGATCAGATTATCTCTACTGGGAGCCACCATTTTGTTTGAAGCAAATACAAGTGATATGAGAGGTGGAACCTGATTGGTCAATAGAAGGGACATAGGAGGGACATAGAAGGGACATAACTCGTAAAACCACTGGTGGCGCTAAGATCGAAATTCCAGCCAAGTTCGGCAAGGGTGGAAATCAGACTTTTGTAGTCAGATAACACCCTTGCCTCAGGAAGATGCAGTGAGAATGAACCTGAAAGAAGATACACTGTTGCCGATTATAAAATTCTGTATAGACACAGATCTGTAATATAAAATCCATGGAATACTGTCCTTTACATCCATGTACACATTCCTCAAAGTGAGCATCAGGAATGGAGGCTTGCGTGCCAACTTGGTCTTAATTACCAGGTTGACATTGTATAGAGGGCTGTGTTTCCAGATGGCAATGTCGGCAAATATTGATGAACCTTCACTGAGTTCCGTCTGAAGCCAAACCTATGGATCAACATGCCCAGTAATCCGTCAATGTGGTCAATACTGATCTGATCAATTGTCACAATTACTACCACTGATTCCCTATGATAACTTCAACAAATATGACTGAATACAAGTCACCAGGTAGAGGGGGACACAGGTGGCCCAGTGGTACAAGTCACCCTAGTTTGCTGTGCTGAGTTTCATCGCTTAGCATGCCAGAAATCTTTAATCATGGGTTCTAATCCCAAAATCTAGGTTTGCTAGCACTCTACCCGTGCTCATATTTTTTATTTTTTTCAAATTTTGTCAAATTGAAAAAATTGAATTTGAACAATATTTAGGGACTGGTCATTTATTATGGGGGATGACATGAAAAATGTAACGTATATTTAGGAGGGGACATGACAAAAATGTGACCTAAAATCGGGGGTCAGCAAAATATACTACAGCAGTCCTAAGACCAATTCTTTTCCCCATCTTTGTAATAAGTGACCAGGCCCTGACTGAAATACTGTTTACAGCGCCGGTAACCAAACTCAATCACTCACTCAAATCGTAGAGACGTCATGTAAAGTCAAATTAGGTTTGACAGCCACCAATATCAGTCAATATGAAGTAAGCTAGCTCTCAATGGCATCCTATCATTACTAGTATTGGCTAACACCACCAAGAGCCAAGCGCTGTACAGTCAATCCTATTACCCTCTTATCTGAGGACACTAATCCTGTCTCAGTCCATCACAATGTTAAACCCCATCAATTCCCTCATCTCCCTGGACTGCCTAGGTCACGCTGGGCACCTCCGAGTTTGTTATTGACCCATTGGAGAATCATGGAGTACATTTGTAGCAAGGGTTCCTTTCCTTTCCTTTCCTTTCTCCAGCCCCTACATCGATTACACCAACATACATGCACAGAGATGCCTATGTATCATGCATGTAAGGGGCTGTATTTGTCTATTGAAGGGCTGGTGTTGAGGATAAGTACAATCGGTTCCAAGAGCTTTGGGGTTTACTGTGGATGTCTACATATTGTACAACAAACATTTACTGTCCCTAGCTTGTCTCC